TTAACTCATTAAAGGCCTATCAAATTCCGTCTGACACAATCTGTCACATACACTATGTCGAAGTGGCGACATACATGAGACAATTTATGTTGATATTCGCTTGACGTTCAGTGAGATATGGAAACAAATATACCAATGATGGATCCTAAACTCATTTGGGATATAATCAATTGAAATGGATACTGCACGCGAGCTTATGGGATAAAGATCATGGTGATGATATTATCGCCATTGTCATCAGGTGTATCGAAATGTGATGCCAGAAACTGATCGCATTTCTCTGTTTGTACTCAATTGGAATGAACAATAAAAGCTAAATGCTATTTTTTATTACACGCGACTTTCGGTACTTTTACTTTGCTATATTCAATCCGAGGTATTGTATTCAAATTTAAGGTGGTGTGCATTTCAAAATAAAGTATCAATATCTTTCTTGGGTATATACCTTAATAGCTACAACCTGTTCCCAGTGTGGTGCAATTCGTAAATTGCTAATGATTGACATGCCAATTGTAAACTATCACGATTACCATTAACGATGGTGAAATTTCGAAGCATTTTTCAAATTTATCAAAGCTTTCCTTGGCTGAAAATAAAATCGATTGAGATATACTGTAAGACAAAATATATTAAATTTGAATTCACTCACTTGGGTTGACAGTTTTGTTTTTGTTTTGTTTTGTGACAGTAGACTGTCGTTGCAATAATGTTTTGCCCTACAGAGAGGAGGTATAGCATCTTGTTCTAATGTAATTTCTCTTAGTTTCTAAATTGTTACGAGCGAGACAACTAGAGAACATCTTTAATGGTGGAAACCACAAGCAGTGCACTATGCATGAATTTATAGTGTTAAGGTCATTCGTCATGAAAATATATTCCAATTGTACAGCTGTCTGAATAGGACGTGACATTTACCCAAATGTTGCCGTACCGCAGTGATCAAAATTCTCGAGCCTCCGCCTCGTACATGTATGTCGATGTGCATAACACGAGGAGAAAAGGCTAATTGCATTTTGTAAAGTAAAGAGCTATCCATTTCTTTCTTATTCCTGGTAATTTTTGGATTACGTAAATTTGATAGAATCTGGTGGAAAAACACGATGTTTTGAACATGGCTGAATCCTGGAGCGATATAGCGTCTGTTTATTTTAGACTAGTTGAAGTCTACCAGGACGACTTTTCCCAGTAGATGTGTTCTGATGAAAGATGAAGAAGAGTGCAGGGATCACAATGAGATTAACATTAACCCAACTAGCTGTTGATGTACCGACCGCCCCCATCGCACTTCAAACAAAAAAGTAAAGAAAGAGCAACAAAAAACAACACGAGAACATTTTTGCAGGAATTGCTGAAATATGTTAGCAACTCCTGTAAAAATGTTCGGATTGTTGTTTCGGGTAAAACGTGATGAGTAAAAACCATGTACTCCACATTTCGGACCGTTAACAGCTCCATACTAAAAGTCAACGGCGTCTGTAAATGAGCGGGGAAGCTAGGCCGTGCGTGGAGAGGGAATGGCATCGCTGATCATCTTTCTGCCTTTGCTCATCCACACTTCGGTCAAATTAAAGATTTCCTATTTTCTTTAATTCAGTGGGCAAAGTATAATAAATAGTGATTAGAAAATGTTAACGATGATCGAGAATATGACGTCAATGTATATTTCCTAAAGCAACAGGGGCAGATGCTACTTTTTAATCTAACCCGCACCCAACTTCTCATACCACTATCCCTAACTTTAATCTCTACCTTAACCCTAAATGTCTCCATGAACTCAACGCCTGCTAATAACTTTCACGTACGTAGAAATCAGGACTTGATTGGCCGCAATCGTTGCTGTTTTGGGAGGAAATTCGTTTTCTCTGGCCTTTTTAGGTACTTGTCGACAAAAAATTCGACTTTATAACAGTTTTCAGGAAATGTGACAAACGAGGGATCCTTTTTGTGAGCCGTTTTTTTAAACAAACTTTGAAACATACAAACAAACTCGTTGTCGACGTATGCTGCCTAGACACCCCCCCCCCCGCCCCATTTAAAATGTCCTGGCTACGCCCTTGCACACCTTCACGGAAATTCGAGTTCTGGAGTGATGTGAGAGGGCGGAATGTGAAGTGCGTACTTGTCGATTTTACCCCCTTTAGCACGAAATGTTTGTTGATGAACAGGTCGAGTTGCAGACCAACATGAAGTCCAATCCCCTCTGACAATATTTAGGGGCTCCGGTGGAATAATAGCGATGCTTTTAGGGAGAGATTGAGAGGGGTGGGTAGGAGAGAATAGAAAGGAGTGTGGGAGGGAGGGAGAGAGACGAGAAAACAGGGGGGTATAGGTAGAGAGAAAACTAGAATGAGAGATAGAGAAGAGAAGAACAGAGAAGAGAGAAAGAGAGAGAGAGGGGTGAAGATAAGACTTATCGTTCTTATAACCTCAATTAGATGAATTCAATTCAATATTTCGATTTAGAAATTTGTATTTTCTCCTTTCATTAATTTCATTCAAATTTTATTTATATTTATATATATATATATATATATTCCATTAATACTGTATAGATCTATATATTTTTTTAAATCGTATATGTTTGTAGATATTTTATGTATTTACCTATGTATTTGCAATGTATTTGCTGGAATTGAAATAACCGAATTGAACTGAGTAACATTCTAAAAACTAAACCATTAAATCAACATTTAAAAGGTTGAGGAGTTACAACATTTTTATAATCGTAGCTTATTTTAATATTTGAGTATTTAGAGTGAAAAAGAAGCACATCCCCAAAAGAAAGAAAAAAAAACTGATTGCAAGGAGTGGGGGGGGGGGGGGGGTAAATAAAAGGAAACCTCACCCCAAAGAATAAGTGTAGGTATTCTGAAAAAAGAAAGGTTTTTCTACCCTTTGATGTACGATATCCCTCACGAAAATGTACAAGAGATATATAAATGAAGATATTTTTGGCATGATGTGATGCCTTTTAGCATGACATGGGCGCAGCCATTTTCTTGAACATGTGACGTACCATGCACAAAGATTTAGATGTAAAGACTTTTAAAATTAATAACAAAACATTTACTTTTCAATGAGGAAAATCATAGCTGAGAAGATCGAAATTATAGTTGGTGAAAAATATATAACGGGGGAACAATTGTAACTAATTCATTTAAAAATACTAAAATATAGCAGTTGACAAATCTATTTCATTTATGATAAACATTCACCGCATGCAAAAGAGCACCAACATAATGTATGCAATTTACGTTCCGGCAATTGTAGTAAATAGGATAATATCAGGTGAATGGAATGCTTCATCACCACACACACTTGGGAAGGAAGCATCCATAAATTTGAATTCATTTACTTGCTAAACGACTTCACATAGTACGTCACGTTATCAAGAAAATGGCGATGCCTATTTCGTGCTGGAAAACTACATTATTCTTGCTTTATGCTGCTCATACACTTTGGTGGAGAATCTTGTGCAAGAATAAAACAAATCTCTCTCTCAAAAAAGTAAATTTATTTCTTGGGATGAGGTTTCCTTTAAAATCAATTCCAAATTGCACAAATTTGTTTCCTGCATGTTACACATGCCTATTGTGACAAGGATTATGATTATGAACATGATTAAGTTGTTTGCGTTTCTTTACAGCGATCTTTTTTAAATATGTCCATGACTTTTCTTCTTTAAGATGGAATTGAACAAATATTTCTTCACCCATTAGCTCAGCTTCGTTTGCACCTTCATGCCACTCTTAAACATATTTCCTTCCCACAATACATTCACAAAAGATCTACCATCGCCATAGGCACAATCGATAAATATTTACCCTACGTGAAGATCCCAAGTTCAAATGAACACAAGAACAAACATGTAACATAATGTGTGGTACAAATGAAAACGTATATAATGAACGCGAATTGTAAGTGGTGTTCTTGTTTAATATTTACCTTTTTTGTTTACCCTGGTTATGTACACAGCTAGTTATCGTCTTAAAAGAAAGCGCCCTCCCCCTTTACTGGTTTGATCGACGTCTTGATATCATGATTTTTTTTTTTTTTTTTTTTTTTTGGGGGGGGGGGGGTAATTGTTAGTAGCTGTAACCCCATTTACAGTGGCGTAGCCTGAGTCTACCCATTGAGGGGCACTTGAACAAAAGGGGGCTCCGTTCTTAGTCGGGAAATTAAATGTTAATTTACAATTTTACATTTATTGATGAGGGGGCGGTGCGGGGTGATCCAGGCGTCATTATTTCCCCGTCCTTTTCCCCTTCTCCCTTTCCATTTCTCTCTTCTCTCGCTTTTTAAATCTTTAATTTTTTTCACCACTCGATAGGGAGGGGGTGCACGTGCCCCCATGCCAACCTCCAGCCACGCTACTGCTCATTTTTTGTCATCATATTGTTTTTTGTTGTTGTTAGGTTATTATCGTTATCTGTGAAAAGTGAACATTATAACTGTGTTCGTGTGTCGTGACACAAAATACTGTGTTATCTTCTAGGGCAAACCCCGTATGGTTTATTTACTTAAGGAAATATGAAATATTGAAACGTTTAATGAACAGAATGAGGAAATGAATATGAAAACAAAAAAATTGGATGAAATCTAGAGAGAGCTCATTGATGAAGCTATATTAAGCCAGATGATGATTTCAGCCTAGATCAGCCAATACCCCCAAGAAAAACAATTACCCTATATAGTATTAAACGTGTGGCTTCCAACCAAAATAAAATTTCTTTAATACTTCCTGCACAAACATCACAAAACTATGATGAAAACCATTATTCTATATCAATATTTTGAATAAATATTTTGATATCCTGTAACAATTTCATTGTTGAGACGGGCCTTTGTCCGTTTTATGTCAATTATTTATCGTGACAAGTAGTTGAGTAGCAATTTAGTATCAGACCCTTTGACCCTTATCTTACATAATGTTATGAAATAGATACATAACGTAAGTTGTACCACGATTTACATTCTTATTTGTCTTTTTTTTTTGGCAGATGTAGTCAAAGATATCGTGAGAAACTGCGACTTTATATCCGTGCCTACAGATACAGTCATAATCAGACAAGGAGGGAAGGGTGACTGGTAAGTCTCTCTTTTTTTTAATCCATCAAAATAGATTCTTCTTTTTGATGAAAATGTTGCCAGCAAAGGTCTACAAAAAGTAAAGAAAATGAAAGCCAAGATTTATATGATTATATCCGCTTTGGTTAATATGTTTATACAAACCGATACAACGTGGTTAAGATAAGAGAATGACTACGTTCAGGCTTATACTTAAAACGAAAACAAAAAGAAAATAATTTGTGTTTGTAAATATATTTTTTGAATTTAGTAATAATTACGTTTGGTACTACAAACACAAGACTCGTGAGGAGAAATAAGCTTAAGTTAATTATCAATATACCCAAACTAACAAAAATGGTGCTGACTTATTTTCTTTCCCTAAACATTTCCAACCAAAAGTGATTTGTACATATAAATAGAAGTATCATATGTTTATCCCCATTCTTGACTATTCATCGTAATTATCGTTCAGTTTTATTTCGGTAATATCTTATCATTTAATCACAACATCAGAATATGGTATTAAGTTTTATTATTTCTGATTTGCAAACCAAACTTTGATGTCACCTGTATCGGTTTTTGTGATCCATGTGCAGCTTTTACATCATCCTGTCAGGCTCGGTGTCCGTGTTTATCAACCAGGCTTTAGAGGACCAGGACAACGTGTCCAAATCTCCACCGTCCCGGGCCAGGACTAGGAAATCTATACCAAATACTAGACCAAATACTAGACCAAGTACTCGAGTAAGATCACCAGAAAAGGTGCCTCAATCAAAAGATCGTCCGTCGACCGCAAAGCATAGCAAGTCAGCCGAAGACCAACACTCATCGTCATCCAGTGCGAAAAACGCCGGGGAATCCGGCGACAACACCAGAAAGAGCCCAGCGGAGCGGGATGATAAGCGGGCAGACGACAGCAACCGAATTTCTGGCGATGGAATTGGCGGGAAAGCAGACGGTGGTTCGGCGAATGGGATCGAAATCATCATCGACGACGATGCTTCCGAAAGCCAAGCGGATAGCGGATTGTCATCAGATGGAATGCTAGTGGACGAAAATGATAACGATGTCTACAATAATGGAAATGAAAGTGATAATGACGACGACTATGATGACGACTTTGATAGTGACTTCGATTATTCTTCTGATGAAGACAACGAGGATATACTGAAACAGAATACAACCAAGTTGGAAAGGTCACTCTTTGGAGTGCACATCCGTGAATTAGGTTAGTCTGTCTGAAAAAAATATATGCTGAGAGCCAGTAGGACTCTGAGAAAACATGTTTGAAGAGAATTTGATTTCAAAGAGTAGCCCGAACCAAATAAATCATGTGGGAATTTTGCTATGGGAACAAAACATTGTTTTGATGAATTGATATGAATTTCATAGAAATATTGAATAATTCAAGGGTTTTGTGCACTGTAAAAAAGTTGGGCAGATGTTACTGGGTAAATCGAATTTGGGCAAATTTTGTCCGATAATTGGGTTATTTTATCTCAACCATTAACTATATGAAGTTACCTAATGAAAGGTAAAAAAAAAAGTTGGGAAGGTGTTACTTTACAAATCGATGTTGGGCAAATGTGGTCCAATAATTGGGTTATTTTTTACCAACTTTGTAGTTACCGATGATAATCGGGTAATGTTATTGGGCAAATTAAAGTTGGGCCATTTTTGTCCAACAATTAGGTTATTTTCTACCAACCATGTAGTTACTGGTGAAATTATTGAGTAATGTTATTGGGCAAATTAAAGTTGGGGCATTTTTGTCCAACATTTGAGATATTTTCTCCCAACAATTTACTACATGTGTAGTTAACCAATTAAATGTTCAAAATTAGTTGGGCAGATGCTACTGGGCAAACGCAAGTCGGGCAACAAATATGCAACAATAGTGTTCAATTCTTACAGTAGAGGAGTCGTGGTCGAGTGGATATTTCACAGGACTGTGGATCAATAGGTCCGCGGTTCGAGTCCTTCCGCCGCTTTAATGTCCTTTTATATAATATATATATAATATTTTATCCATCTTATTTGATTTAATTTACCCAACAGTTGGTTTGAAAAATAATCGCCCTCATGTTGGGTAAAAATTGGGCAATTTTTCGCTCAATATTTTTTAGAGTGTGGTGAGTGAAAAGGGAGTGTGATATTCAAAAGAGAGAGTGAAATAGGATGGGGTGCGAATTAAAAGATACAGATATACGGTAAATAAAAGAAAGTGGATATACATACTCAAACATATTTGAATGCAAAAGAGATGGGAAGAGTGGGGAGGGGGTGAGAGGCAGAGAGAGAGTAGATAAACGAGGCTGGATTCTCAAGAACCCAGACATATGCTACTCAGATCTAAAAATAATATTCAAGGTCTCAATCCTAATGAAAGTAAACCATCCTTTATTCCCGTTAATGCTCTAATCTGTTAATGCAGAGGCGGGAAAGTGCTTTGGAGAATTGGCCCTCGTCCAGAATAACCCTATCCGGACTGCATCCATCATAGCCAACCAACAGACCAACCTCATCGTCATCAACAGAGAGCTCTACAACCGATGCCTCAAGGCAGCACAGCAACACGAGTTCAACCTCAAGAAGAACTTCGTCAACACCTTCCCTCTTTTCAGGTTAGAAGAGCACTTCTAGTTCACTTCTAACTGGTCCATAGTCAAGTACAAGATTTGTTTTTCAATAGGATATAAAAACGTGTCGTTATTTTACATATTAATAAAATTGCGTTCAGTTGCTTTTACAAGAATTAGATATGGTATTTAAGAGAACGTTCGGTTCTGATGAGCAAAATGTCATTGTGAACAAATTGAACGGTTGATTATGAAGTGAACAATGTGTTTTTATGAGATTTCGGAATCATAGAATCGAAAATAAATTGTAACAATGTTGCTTCGAAATATAGTTCTGAACAGTACTGCACACAAAATTAAGTCATAAACATATGTCATCAATTTTGTCCCAAATTAATCATTATTTTCTAGTAGTTGGTGGGGAATAGTTATGAGGGCATATTGTAAGCGCCCTTTCACGGGGAATTATCGTACAGCAAAGGAAGACCGAGAAAGCTCACGTTTTCCTTCACCGGAACCAAACCTTCTCTTTAAAATGTCTATTCATCTAGGAACTGGACACCACGTCAGCGTAGCGTGATGACCATGAGCTTGACCCGATACCAGTACCAGTATGGCAACACCATGGCCAGGCAAGGAGCGCCTGTCAAGGGACTTCACTTCATCACCCAAGGGAGCGCTAAGGTCTCAACAGACACTGTTCAGCACATAACGCAGTACCCCAAGTTCTGCACAGAGAAAGACGTCCAGTTTGCAAAAGACGTGAAGTAAGTTGGGATGCTGGTAGGGGTGGCCGGGAATGGTTCCTCTGTGATTTAATTGCAATCGTTTATCTGACGTATAGGACTACATCAGCTACTCATACAAAACAAAGCGAGTGCAAAACGAATTTTGTTATTGTGTAATTTTGTTGTTGTTTGCATTCAGTTTTTAAGATGTCACTAAAATGTAGCGTGTCAAAGATAATGTCTTATGCGCAGCTAGCGTTATCAAATTTAGCAAAGTTTAGGTAAGAAAGTGCTTTAAATTTTATCAAGAAAATAAAAGATCAAAGTCTAAAACAGTTTATTTTTGTAAATTTACAGAACAGGAAGAGGAACACGGACCTCCCATCCCGGATCCAGCTCCTGGGAATCGGGAAGCACTCGGCGAGGGGTCCAACACTGCGTCAGACGCAAGGAGACTTATGCCGAGGCGGAGAAAGATTTGAACTACAAGAACACCGACATGTGTGTTATCGGAGCCGGAGACTACATAGGTAATATATTCTTCCTCCACCAAAATAACAAGGGGAAGAAAAAAAGAGAAAAGGAACTTGACTGGAGCTTCGGTTTCCGGCACCGCATTTATGTTATTAAACAAAGCAGATATCGACATTGCTTTTCTCGATCCAGGTATCATTAAATAGGTACCCGGTATGATGCAAACGTAATTTTGGATGATCATCAATCATCTTAAACAAATATAGCCTGGCTGGAATACTCCCCATGGAGTGGAGAATAGACGCATTTCTGCACGAACTCCTGAATCCAATGATCAGGGTAATATTTATAAAAGCACTTCATAAAGACATTGTAAATGAATCAAGAGCTACAGATCCACAATATATGAAGTGATATTACCTTTAAAAAATACCTCTATCTGTTTAACAGGTGACTTTGAGGTTCTGCTGCGGCTACCTACCTACAGCTTCTCTGTCAAGTGCCTTCAAGGTGTGGATACCTTTGAATTGGACCTCAATAACTTTGAGCGGCAGATCGTCAAGAAGAGTCCGACCACGTATGCGTTACTCAAAGAAACGGCAGAAACCAAACTGCGAGCAAGAGTCAAGCGACTAGTCAGGGACCAACAGGTACTATAAGACGTTATCATTTTCGTTTCGATAAGTGAAAAAATAACGATGGGCGAAACGTAGAAACAAACCTCTGGCACATTCTTGCAAAAGACCCATTATGAATCTTTCGAACAAAGAATGAACTTCCGTCGTAAGTGTCCGACAGAATAAACACACCAAATATATATAAAACTCAAAAATTAAATCTTATGACCGTTGTCCTCGATGCTAAAAGCGTTATTTTATGACGTAGAATTGCGTCGGGGATTTGTGTGGTCTTTGACTAGCCATTAGATCGTGACATCGTACATAGAAAAAAGGGATGAATGCGAAATGTACAGTAGAGGAAACTTCAATCGTAACTGTCTGAAAGATATAGTTTTTAAACACCAAAATGAAAATATAAAATACTTTGGCTGTTGTCACTGTCAGTCGTTGATAACTTTCTCTTCAGAATTGGTAACTTCTCATCACCCCACGAAAACTAATTCCCAGATTATTGCTTTCTCATTTGCCAGATCTATATGCCGGTCTTGGAGGCCATGCTGAATCGTCTGCAGATGCTAAACAAACCCAACGGCTGGAAGAGCAAACCCAAATACAAACTCGATGTTGCGTCAACGTCATCCATCGGTAGCGTCAAAGTCGGCGGCGGAGATGAAATCGTCGGAGAATACCGCGAAAAACAACGCCAATTCCTGCGACGCAGACAGCGAGAGAAGCGGCTGGAGGAGAAGCGGAATATTCAGATGGCGCACGCCTTCGGTCTCGGGCTGCAGCTTGAAATGCAGAACATGCCCAACAACATGGTTAACTACGAAGGCATTCCCGATATAGATACGTCGACGATCGAGCGCAAGGCATCCGATATCTTCCCCGACGTTCCCTCCAACGTCAAACTCCGGGTGGATCCAATCACGGGACTGATCCGCTCGACTGAGATACGCGTTCCCCGGAATGTAATTTATCAGAAGAACAACGGGAGTCAGCAGGGCGTCATGAACACCAACGGGCAGCTTGTGGTACCGCGGTCGAAACGGCAACTTCTCAACGCTCTCGAAAACAAGGACAAGACTAACTTAGCTGTACCCAAAGATGAAAGCAAGAAAGACCGACGTTTGAGAAGTCAAACGTTTAGTCCGGGAGTTTACCAGTCAGTTCACCTCAAAACAACGTCTTCGCTCACCAGTCTGAACGCACCCTCGAAGTCGGCTGGCAGACCTTTCTCTGGTAAAAGCTCTAACTCCTCACATCAAGGACATGCTCATGCCTATCGCCCCGTGTCTCGGTTGTCGGATGCGCAAAGGACACATTCCTCCTCGTTTTGAGAAAGGAGAAAAGTGCGGAACACGCGAACCTATTTTAATGATATCCATACCTCATAAGTATATGTTTAAAGATTTGCAATTAGCAGATGTCAGGGGCGTCGTTAAGACATTTGAAAGGGTTGTCAGAACGATTAAATTAGCCACAAACTTTGCAGGTAGAATATATTTGGCAAATAAGTAATGAAATGAATTTGGGATGGTACACAGCTTTAAACATTTGCTAACAAAAGTACCAAGGGTTACAAAACAACCCACATACATAATTATGGATTTGCCGATAGATTTCTTTATCTCTTTTTTTTTTGGGGGGGGGGGGGGAGGGGGAGGTCGGTGGAGGGGTGATAACATCTCCTCTACTAATACCGCTGCCGGATTATCATGAAGATAAGTATGGTAAAAATCAGAGACAAACCTGCCTCATTATAGTATTATTTTCATTTTATGCAGACCCTGTTTTCTGCATGTTATGGTCGCAGTAATAATTCACCCAGTATTGTATCTCGTTCTTAAATTGGATGAGAACCTTATATATTTTGTCTAGTTCCATATTTTGTGGATCGAGGGTTTGAGTACTTCCTTTGGGGTCTATGTTGCAAGTGGTCGTTACCATCTCTAATGAATTATTCACAGTCTCAATGAAAAAATACCTTTAAGTGTGTACATATTCAACTTGCCAAAACTGAAATGAATACTGAAATACATACTGAAATACAATGTTTGTTTTACTTTTTAAATGAATAATTCATAAGTATTAATCAATACAATATCGTCTCTTTATATCGAATTGTAGATGCAAAGGAGATTAGAAGTTCATGACACAAGATCAGCAAATATCTTGATTGAATGGTATTTAAGAATATTCAGAGTGAACATAATATACGATGAAACTTGTTATCTTGCCCCTTACCACTTTGACAAGTTAAACATATAGCAGTGTATGTAAACATTGTTTACCAAGCCACCCCTTTACTCAAAATAAATTTTGTATGTTGTTGCAAATTTGTGATTCTCAAAGTCCATCATGACCAACAGAAATACATGTTGGTCATAGTGTTGCAATTGGCCTATATACTTCCAGACGGCTCAGGAGAGTAAGCTCAGGAATTCTGATATTTATTTGCTTCTAATTCAAGATTTTGTTCATTTGTTGATCGGTATCTACTCAATATGGAAAGAGTATTACATTGCACTGTGATGGTTAATATCAAACAGCCCCTTGCGATCATGTGGATTCTGGAAGAAGAAAACAAGGACTGATGTGATAGAACTGTACTTGCCAAATCAAGAAGTCGATCAATGATTATTACAATCAGTTAAGTCACTCACTCCAACAATCAATCAATCAGTCAACCAAACAAACAAATTTACAATCAGTCAATCAAAACGACTTTACTTTCAAATTACCATCAAAGAATTGACCTACTGTTACGTCCATGCATTGTGTATATTGTCTAATGTTTTACGCCATACTTTGATAAATCTGGAATATACCTGTTACAAGTATGTGTAAAGTACTAAAGAAAAATGAGGGGTATTTTGCAGTAATCAAAACTGGTATTCAGTGATAAGGAATATTATTTGAATGCACCATGTAAAATACAAATTCTATGTTCGATATTTAAAAGTGTAAATGACAAAATAAAAATGACTGCCCTTGATATGAGAATAAAATTTCACATTTGTTTTTCTCTCTGTACTGTAAGATGATTGTCACAAGTTTTAATTCCACATTATTTCTTGTCTCTCCATGGTAAGATCTTAATCACTCATCCTTACAGTGACTCAGTAACATTGCCTTAGATTCTGAAACAAAATCCTGGATTTAGCTCATGCTGCAATCATAATTAAAAACCTTTAGGTCAGTCAGGAATCCCATGAGTTTTACAAGTCGATCGCTTGTCTGATTATCAAGATATTTATGCTTGGAAATCGAAATTTCATTTTCCTAACAGTTTTTATAACACTACAGTCTATTGGGCAAAAAGAGTATGGTAAAACCGGTCACTTAAAGATTTTTACTTTTTTGAGGCACTTCATGATCCTTTTGAAGCTCAATTTTTTTTTAGGGCATCAATAATACACCATATCACAGACACTGATAACATGTAGGGCCATGTATTTCAGATTTAACATTGTTAAACAATGCCTTTAATAAGACTCATTGACATCATCCAGCAGCATCATGCGATAAAATGCATTTTTCAATTGAATTATCGCAAAAGGTCAGACAAGAATATAGACTGCTCATTAATAAAGTCTAAAAATAACTTGAATGATAAAATGTGTTGGTGGTAATCATGGCACTGGTGACGATTTGATTTTCTAGGCTACAAAACAACTTTGAAATTAAATGTACATCTATGTTTTGCACTTCATAATGGGCATGTACATTTCATTAGGCGTTTACATTAACATATTTCCTGCCAGTACGAGTACATCTCAATGCTGCAACATGATACAACAAATAAAAATACATGGGCCAATATTTTTCTTTCAAAAATTGTTTATTCATCATTGTCATGAAAAAGTTGCTCATTATATCACATAATGAAAACCCTGCCCCCACCCCTCTTGTGATCAATTTGAGGACATGTCGTCAATTTGGAGCAATCATACCTCTTCTAAAGACAGGGCCCTGGCCTTCTTCATCAAAATTTTGCCAGCAGCAGGTATAGAAAACTGCAATAAAAGTATGTGTCTTAATGTTGCTGTTGGATGAGGGGTGATCTGTGACTTGTAATTAATAAAAGAAAACATGAAGGAAATGGATACCGGTACTTAAATAAAGTGAAAATCAGATAAATATATATGCAATGCCATTACAAATTACATCTATGTAATGAAATAGTTCCATTGCTCTGAAAGTTACAATTTGATTACAATAATGAAATCCTAATCAGCTCAGTAAATTGATTTGATAAGGTCCCTACTACATCGGCGATTCCCTCAATTCAAAAGGATAAAGATTTAAACATTCATTCAAACAATGGCTCACTCAAACAGAAAGAGATTGGCATATCTTGACATAATTGCCATTTTTTCCAAGGCAAATCTAACCAAGTCTATGTATGGTAAAAAATTAGATCATATAGTATGTTATACACTGTACTTTCAAAGACTTAAGATATCTCATTGCTTTGTTATGGGAAATGTTATATGATGATGATAAAAACTTCTTCACTACTTGTAGTAGAAGAGTGCCTCAGTGCTTCATTCCAGTTTTAGTCATACTGGTAGTTTGAAATATCACTGAGCAAAAGCAAGCAAATATAAGCACTTCCACTCTTTTTCTAACTTCAAGTAGCAAGAAGCAATTGCAGAATTTTTAAAAATTATAAATTTCATCAATCACAAAACTATTTTGTCCCATTCAACAGCCAGTATGATCAACCTACTCTCTGCAGCGAATGTGAAAAGTGTACAGGGATAAGAAGAACAACAAAAAAAGTTTCCTTAAACCATTTTTTAAAAATAGGTGCCCAAATCCATATGCGTATTTCTGGCCTGCCTCACACATTGATCAAGTAAACCTTGACTGCACTATACGGACAAGTTGAGGTACATGCCATTGTTCAAATTCCCCTAGTTGCAATGCCCCTTGACGTATAATGCATAGAGCCATTGTTCTCTGTCAGCATTTGCTTCAGTAAAATAAATATGGCCCAATATCAATTCGTAAAAAAGCCAGGAATTAGTTGAGGTGAAAGATGTGTTACATTACAGAAGCTGGTAAATCTATGAGCACTGGGGTGAAAGGCTTGGTCAGGGCTTGAGACTGATCATGGCTTTTTGGCCTTGACCTGAGCTTGTGCTGCCTTCTTGGCCTTCACCATCTCAACAAGTTCCTAGAATTGGAAGGGAAAAAAAGAGAATAATGCAAATGATAAGAAGTACACCCAATGAATAATAAAATGCACACCAACTAACAGAATAATTTTTAGATACTAGAAAAAACGTTTGTTGGACACTAAAAAGAACATTGCAATCGAACTTTTAAAAACACAAGAGGCATGAAAACCTTTGAGCAGGAGAGAGAATGAAAGAAAAAGAGGAAGAGAAAAAAAGATGGGAGAGGGAATTGGAGAAAATATGAAAAGAGTATGGCAAAAAAACAGTAAAATAGAGGATGAATAAAGTAAAATGAAGATAAGAAACAAACAAGATGGTATTAAAGAAGAAACACAAAAGAGAAGAAACATTTGATAGACATTATGGAGGAGTAGAAAGAGGAGGGGGGGAGGCATTGAGCAGAGAATGAAGCAATAACAATTCATTTCCTACCTTATATCTCTTCATGCACTCTTTCTTAGTCCTGGTAGGTACAGCCTCAGAGATCTTATCCCATCTGTCTGTAGCGCTGGCAGGGAATGTCTTCAAGGCTTGCTCTAATCTCTTCTGTTCATCCGTCTGCCATGCTTTAGGACCTTCTACAGCAGCAGCAGGAGCAGCAGCGCCCTCTCCACCTGAAGCAAGAACAGTCAATGATTAGAATTCACCAATGAAAAATGTTTCACGACAAAAGCAAACACATATGATAATCAATAAGAGCTAATAGCTAGAATACTTACTGTGAACCTGTACTTAAATATTAGGCGATAAAAAAAAAAATGTTGTATTGCCCTTTGCAACCGACCCAAAAGTCTTGAAATCTACTGTTGTCTTTTAAAAAAAGTTTGTTTTCGTTTTTTTTACTGTTTTTTAGGATTTTTTTAAAAATAACTTAAGATATGTATTAAATCTTTCCAAACTGAGAAATATTAGCCCAAAGAAAGATTTCCGACCGACCAAACAATGTTTTGACACCTAAAGGGCAATACAAAATCTTTTTTTTTTAGGCATTACAATGATGTATTGGACTTGGGCTTAGTGAGAAGAGTGAAGCTTGAATTTATAATCAGAGTTGTAATGTACATATTTGTGATCCCATATCATATTAATTGGTAGCGATGTGTATCTCCCCATAGCCCAAAGTTAATGAAAGATGAAATATCCTTGCCAAATAATCAACTGGTCGAAACTTTGTATACTTTTTAAAGAGATCAAATTTGTGCATTGTATTATCTGCCTACATAATTCGCTATTCATTCTCCTTTATAGTAGAGGAATTTCATAATTGCGATTGACCTTATTTTTAACTGACTTGATCTGATGGGTGGATTGTTTTCTTACCTTCAAAGTTCTCTGAAGGAGGGGCTTCATCCGATTTCTTAAGCTTGGCTCCGGTAGCCTGCTGAAACTTCTCAAATGCCTTCTCGTTAGCTGCTGCCTTCATACCGCCATCTGGTGAATAAACACAATCGCATGTCAATGAAGTGGTGTAAGTGTGTAATAACCTTGATTATTAATATCTGATATTGGGATCGGAACCATTCTCTAAATATAATAATAAATAATAACAATTGTGCTTATAAAGCGCTTTCCCCTATAACAAACAAAATACAATGTTAAACAATTACATATTAAACAAACATAAGTTACAAAACTAAACCTACAAATTACAAAACATATGAAATATACATCAATGTGGACTGGGTAAGTTAATCATCAGATGCGATTTTGAATAAATGTGTCTTAAGACATTGAGAAAGGACTTAGACTGAAAGGCATTCTTATTGACAGTCTGATTCATATATATGGCTGATGAAAAGACTGGTAGCACAATTTAAAGTCATGACAGTGTAGGTTTCCTTGTCAAGAATATCAAGTATGTTGGGATCGGAACCAGTCTGTGCAAGCAATGCCTTGAACGCTTCTAATCTACAGCTTCCTTCATAGAGGTTTATATGTATGGTGAAAAGAACAGGGGGGGGGGCAACAACAAGCAAAATGAAAACTCTTGTAGGTTTTTTTTTGAGGACCGAAGTTTGACAGCAAGCATTTAACAAGCTTGTTGATGCGAATTATGGATTTGCCACCATTTTTTTTCTTCTCCTCCTTCATCTTCTTTTAGGGGGAAAGGATACTGCACCATAATTTGCAAGTGATCATAACAAAAGTTTGTTGACACCCATTATAGATGTGCTAACAGAAACTGGAAGTGGGGAGGGGGAGGGGAGGTGATAGGCGGAGTACTAACCTAATCTCTGTAGATTCTTAGTCTTATTAATGATATCCTTGGCAGCTCTGTTGCTCCCTGATGTGGAATGATTATTGATGTAATTTGCAATCACTTCATACCTGTTAAAAAAACACAAATCCCATCATAAAAGAAGTTAAGAATTATGACACATGACAGAAAAAATTCCCAAGTAATGACATAAGGACTTTCTTAAAATTATGGTAAAGTGAAACCTGCATATAAAGACACTCAATTTTTTTTTTTACATAGAAAAGGACTCTTTGTACAGATTCCTATAGTACACACGTTTTAGTGAGAAATACTACTTCTGCAGAAGAAAAAAGATGTACTAAAGCGGGACCCCGTTTCATAAAACTTTTTATCAATAACAAATGTCACATTTCTATAACAAATTTGCTCAGAATCAATCAAATGCCATGACATCAGTACCTGATTCTAACTTGTAATTGATAACAAGTTGATTGATTGTATGGTTAATTAAAAGACTGAACCTGGCAGCCTGTAGGCTGAATTACGTTCAGTTTACAAGATAAAGAAAATTTTTTCATCCTCGATAATACGGTGTACAAGTTCCTTTCACTGTACATACCTAGAGCTTGTGCCTGGGGGAAAGATGTTAGCTGCTTTGATGAGGAGCTGTGTATCGCCTTCGCTCCAGGCTTTACCTCCCTTGGATCCATCACCTCCATCCCCTGCCTTGGAGCTCGCGAGGAGCTCCTGCTGTTTACGTAGCTCCTCCTGGTGCGCTCGTTCAGTCTCCGCTGTAAGTGCAGCCACCTGAAAGAGGGAAGAACATTTCAATAAAATGTCAGTACCCGGGAGAGTTTCACAAAGACTAAGATCAACTTTAAGTTGAACTTAACTATGGCAGGCTATTCATGCCACTGTTTGCTCTCACCATTATGATCTTTAGATAATTTATTTTCCTTCAATAATGAATTATCGAAAAAATTTATTTTCTGTAGATTTATGATCGTAATTTGTAAGTCCCTTGAGAGACCAATGCCAGTAAATGTTAAGAGCAAACAATGACATGAACGGTCTGCCATAGTTAAGTCCAACGTAGGGTCGACCTTAGTCTTTGTGAAACCCCTGTACTGGAAGCAAAAGGGAAATTGGGATGAAACATATTCAATATTATCTCATATTGTTCTGTTGTATCAAAGGAATACAAGATCATGACTTCATAGTACCCTAACCTAAAATCCATCTTCACTAATGACTTTATCCATCTCAGAGTTTCATAACAATCATGCACACAGATGATGTAGATTTTCATTCTAATTTGCATGATAATACAGACAATGTAGATCATAGTTTACCGTTCACTTGTTTGATATTCCATTGAGGAAAAAACTTTCACAGAAACCTATTATTATTATCATCTAACTATTTATTATCTATATCTAAGAAATCTGACAAGTTTGGAGAGGCTTACCAAAATTATAGATGGGCTTTAAATGCTGTAGTTATGGTAAGATTAAAAAAATTGGACATATCTTAATTTCTTAATCGTATGCAGGAGAAAATCACAGATGCTACGTTACAAGAGCATGCTTTTACTTGGACTTCTCTTCATGCAAGGGTGTGGAAAGTGATGGAATTGCATACCTCTTCTTCAAAAACAGCCTTTGATTGTTCTTCTTCATCTGCTTTGCTGAATCTCTCGTTGACCTCTTTTAATCTAAAGGAAATGAATAAGAAAAGACATGTGTCTTAGAAACGAAACGGTATGCTTTGAATTACAAACCTTGCATCATCATGCCTGGCTTAGTATAAGTGGCCAAATCATTTCAAATCATAGAATTGTTTTAATAATCATGTAAGCCCCATTCAGACAAGACATTGTTAATGACCTAATAGTCCACCGTGACATCGACATGCAAGAATCAATGTGTTTTTCCCCTTTTTTGTTGTTTTGTAAATGAATAGTTAGAAGAGGGTAAAAAAGGGCTGTGCACAACAAAGGCCTCAATAGCACTCTACCAAGGCCTAGGCAACACTTGCTCCAGGCTTTCTTTTGTCAAAAATATAAGGTTAGGGTTAGGATGTGTTGGGTCCTGGATTGAAACTTGGAATCTGCTTATAGTAGGACATTTACTGCGGAGCAATTGTTGGAAGAGCACGGGTGGTAGAACCAGTGTTAAGTATAGCTGGCAATGAAGATCATTAGTACCAGTGATGAGAATTTTCACAGCATTCTAGAACAATGTTCAAAACAGAAGACTCCACATACCTGACCAAAGATAATCTTTCACATAACTTCTCCATGTCTTCCATTGCTTTCACAAGGCCATCCTCAGGAGCAAAGTACCCATGTTTCTGTAACAAACACCACAGAGAGAGAGAGAGAGAGAGAGAGGAGAGTGAGAGAGAGACAAAAAAAATTATAGCAAAGTATAATTTATACAGACATGAGAGCAATTGTTATCTGAGTAATTGACAACTGGGTGAGTCTGTAAAAATTGTGTCCAGTAGAATATATTATACAAATGATGCATGCGCATGAGTTCATTATACGATCTATCCGCACTCGAGTTGAGGCTGTGTGTATCTATCGCACGAAGCCGTAAGGCTGAGTGCAATAGATACACACAGCATCAACATCATTTGTTTTATACAACAAAACTCCTAGATCCTTGTTATTTGATGTAAAAAGAATTCATTCAAGATTGTTTTGTGACAGTATATGGCTGACAAATAAATCTCAAGTTTAATGAGGCTTAGTTTAGTGCGCACACAAAGCTATAGATATAGCAAGCGCACTAATTACCTTTATACCCATTTACGCATAGTGCTGCGCAAGAATAGGCTCATGCTCACGCAGTATTAAGCGCTCTAACCTCTACGCGCACTACTGCGCTCTATACAAGTTCAATAGTACTGGAAAATATTGCACTCCTTTTCATGAAAACGAGTGCAATAGGCTCAGTAAATAAATCACCCTGTACCGCGCATGACCAATCATTTGATTAGGATCTGGGAGTGAGTTGTATAAATGCATTTAGCTTAACTTTAATTTCATCCCAATCAAAGAAATACTTGCTATGACAAAGGATAAATGATTCTTCCTGGTAGCACTCTATTATGACCACACAACAGTTTTCATAAATTATGAGTACAGTCTGAAGACTGGAAATATTTTTCTAATAACCAGAACCATAAACAGAATCGGCTAATTACAGGACATTGAATGATAGCATCATTGTGGAGGGGGAGGGGGAGGGGAGGGGAGGGGGAGGGGAGGGGGAGGGGGAGGGGAGGCTCTGTCTCTAGGTGTCACTAAGTGGTTGAATATGAGTTCACATGGCCATCAATATGGCTGCCTTGTGAACTCCCTTTCACTCTTTTTCACTTTTTTCTATTTTTTCTTTTGCCATTCAGTTAGAGGACTTGGGCCCCTCTTTTTCCCTCCCGCCATCCTTCCCCCACCTCTTCCCCCTCGTCCCTGCAGCTGTCCCACTTGCACTGTATAATGACATAATGAAATACTAGCAAGTCATTGTTAGATAGTGTGAGTCTACGGTTAATACACTTACCTTACAGGTTTCTCTCAAGGCTTTTCTTTCTTTCCTCATGGCTTTCTTGAGTGCCTCTTTCCCCTTCTTGGCTGCTTGTGCCTAATAAATAGGGCATAATTAAATGAAAATACAATGCTTAGGTATACGAAGTTGGATGATATTCAAACTCTCCTTCTCAGTCTGTATCCTCCTCTGTCTGTCTGTCTGTCTGTGTGTGTGTGTGTGTGTGTGTGTGTGTCTCTCTCTCTCTCTCTTCTATTTCTGTCTTTCACTCCCCTCTTATCTCTCTTTCTCTCTCTCTCTCTCTCTCTCTCTATTTCTCTCTCTCTCTATTTCTCTCTCACTCTTTTTCTCTCTTCTCTTTCTCTCTGTCTCTCCCTCTCCTCTCTCTTATATATATATATATATATATCTCTCTCTCTCTCTCTCAAACCTTAATTTGTTGACCAAAGATCTGATATATTCATGCAGATTGCAGAATACAAAGGAATTAAAAAGCAAATACTTGCTCCCAGAAAATTATATAGGTCTTTTGAAACTTTTGAATATAAAACTATTCCCTTTAAAAAAATCTATGTTTCTAATACATCCAGAAGCATCTGGGAAATAATACATGAAATCAAGACCATCCATCAATGATTTTTGTAAAAAATAAATTTGTGAAGGAGAGAGAAAAAAAACAAACCTAAAAAGCCTCGGAATCGTTAAGCAATTGCTTAGAAGTTCTACATATCTACCCAAATCTCAGATGAGACCCAAGGAGAAGTGGGAACCGTCATAACAGTGTACATACTGACACATTTATTCAAAATTGTTTTTGATGAATAACTTACTCTGTTCACATTGATGTATATTTCATTTGTATTGTAATTTGTACCGTAGGTGTATTTGTATTTTTTTTGTTTTATTTAATACGTAATTGTTTTTTTCATTGTATTTTGTTTGTTATAGTGCTGGGAGACTTTGGTGGTAATCGCTTTATAAGCACCGTTTTTATTGTTATTATCATTATTATACTATCTCACCTTTGCTTTAGCTTCTTCCGCTTCCTTCTCTTTGGCTAACCTCTCTGCTTCAAGGACAGCCAGCCGTTCCTGAGAATAGAATCAGGAGTCAATGCACTTTTGTTACAACATATTATTTACATTGTAACACATTTCCAGAGCTACACAACATCTTCATGCTATTGCTTCATACTTATGTACCACTATTTGTATCCGCCAATGGGTTCAGGACGGATAGATATTGTTTTATTCCAAAGCTATGCCTCATACCACATAGCCACATTTTTCTCAAATGTGCTCAGGACATATTGTCATTATCATGTACTTCACATGCAATCTCATTCATGGAGAAGACCCAGCATCTCATAGAAAGCATCAATGGTTACAAGACAAGGGGAGTGTTTCACTAAGACTAAGATCGACTTTAAGTTGGACTTAACTATGGCAGGCCATTCATGCCACTGGTTGCTCTCACCATTGGTCTCTCAATTATGATCTTTAGATAATATTTTTTCCTTCAATAATGAACCATCAAAAAAGGTAAATTCTGTAGATTTGTGACCACGATTTATACATTCATTGAGAGAACAATACCAGTAAATGGTGAGAGCAAACAGTGGAATTAACGGCCTGCCATAGTGAAGTCCAACTTAAAGTCGATCTTAGTCTTTGTGAAACACCCCCAAGGTTTAATAGATTTTAGAAGAAAGCCTCTTACCCTTTCTTTCTCCATGGCTGCTGCTTTGACTGCCTCTTGTTTGGCTCGCTTCTCGCTAGCCTTGCGCTCCTTCTCCTCATCCTTGAATCGTTTGATGCGGGGATCACAAGCGTAGGCATTGTCTACAAAGGACAACAGTAGTAATAATAAGTATAATAACATTTATGATGCGCACATATCCACCCCAAGGGATGCCCAAGGCGCCTAACAAGGTAGATAAATTAAACATGATAGTAAATGAGGAGATACTTAAACGTAATTACATATAATTAAACAATGTTAATTACATCAGATTGTGAAATACAGTACATCTTAACTAAGGAATTCAGACATTAGATGGGTTTTCAAGTTTTTTTGGAACAAATTTTGATTGGCTGACATTTTGATTGAATGGGGTAGGGAGTTCTATAAACCTGGGTGCAGCAGCTATAAAAGCTCTGTCACCCCAAGTTCAAGTTCTCTTTTTGTTTTTAATTCTATTGTCTCTGTTGAAATGGAGGAATGAAGACCTGCACAAGAACTTGAAGAGATATCACTCCATCAATCACAAGTTTAAACCTTACCAATAAGTGATCTCATCCTTGCATTTTCTTCCTTCTTCCTCCGCTGTCTCTCAGCCCTATTCTGTTTATCTATCCATCTCCTCTCTTCTCTGCATTCTCCCTTCTCCTTCTCCTCCTCATCGAGGTAGGAAAACTCCCTCCACGATTGGAAGTCGTACCTGACAAAATGCATTGTTAACAGATAATCAAAAGAATATTCCTAATGTAAAAAGAGCTCTCATATCTCTACAAAAAAACGTTACAGAATCTATCATAATAAGTTGGTGGTTTCCCAATCCTAAATTAGTGATAATAATATCGATAATGCTAATAACAGACATGTATCTACAGTGTGAGTAAAAAAAAAAGTTTACACCTCGAAAATTGCTAATTATTTTAAAAACCATCTGTGAACAGTAAATTATTATACATCTTTTGCAAGAGTGTTTTATCCCAAATCATTTGGTATCATATTTGTGTGGTATGTGTTCATGCTTGGATGAACAGGAGGTATTGTTTGCGAGAGTGCAAAAATCGACATGCACCAAAGTTGCTTATGTGATGTTTGAATAAAACAATTGGGATTTCGGTATTAATTCGGTCTTTGCAGATTCAAATAGCATCCCTAACAACATTAATCATGCCACACATATCAAATATCGAATATCTAATATCTACAAACAATTATGCGCGCGCGTGTGTGTGTGTGTGTGTGTGTGTGTGACTTTGCTTCTGCAAAAAGCATATGCAATGCATTTCATTTGATACATTCAATTCATTCTCTCACTCCGCTAATCCCAACATAATACATACTGTAGGCATCACTTTGGCGCAATTCGATTTTTGCACTCTCGCAAACAATGCCTCCTGTTCCTCCAAGCGTGAACACATACCACACAAAAATGATACCAAATGATTTGGGATAAAACTCTCTTTCATGAAATGTATAATTTACTGAGCATAGATGATTTTAAAAATAATAAGCAATTTTATAGGTGTAAACTTTTTTTTGACTCACACAGTATAGCGTAGTATACAAATTGACTCTACTGTGCTTAATCCAAACTATCATATTATATCATAACGCAAGCTTTAAATAATCTACCTAGTACCCGTTTACCTCACCTGGGTGGAGAGCAGCAAATTGAGATGTCTTATTTTCTTGTCAAAGAATGTTCATGTTTGGCAGGGTTTTGAGCTCTGTATATAGTAATCCAGTCAGGTGACTTACCCACAAGCCTCTAATTACAATTACAAATAATTCAAGGCATATATTATTTATGATGATCCATTGCTATCTGATGTAAATATACCAAAAATTTGCATCGCTCATGCTGCATCAATTACACTTACCAGAAGTTGTAGAAGTTATTTACATCCTTATAAGTTGATTTGTCATCACCAAGATCAGGAACAGGCTTCTTTATAGACCACCTGAATGTAATTAAGAAAATATTTAAATTACTATATGCAATTAAGTGAGTGGAAATAGGAGTGTAAATTAGCATTATAGAGTAGGACAATAGTATATATATAGTTATATTTGTGAACCTTTGCTTAACACAAAATTATATGTCCAGTCTAGTCAGTCTGATATTTATTCAGGACAGACTGTCAAGAAAGGAATTTTTTCCAGGCGAGAAGGGAAATGTACTACTCAAAGGAAATGTACTACTCTAAGGTCAATTAGAGGTAGCCAAGCATAGGATGCATTATTCCATACATTTACATTTAACACACATAGTATATGGGGGTTTTGATCTGCATGATTTTGGGTTGGCTATTTGTCACATGAGAATTAAGAATGATGTTACCCTGAATAGGGTGTGTTTTTCCTTTGGTGTTTGGATTTCAGTTACACCATGAATAAAGCCTCTTTGAGCCGAGACCTAAAACCAGTAAGATTAATTGTCGTTTTTCCGTGACAATTTATGGCGACCTTGCCAGGACCAAAGTTTTAGGTCTCGTATGTTATATCCCATTTTGTTGGTTAAATATCCGTTACACTGTACGTGTAGGTTGTATTGGAAAAGAGAGACGGATGTTAGCAAAAGGAGTGATTTTGCGGTTCGGTGTGGTGTGTCTCTCGCCACGGTTTCAGCAGTGCGTGTATCGTCAATAGACGTACAGTATTTGCGGTGGGTGATTTGCGTCGGTATACGGGATCGTGTGTAGATTGTTATTCAGATTTCAGGTATGCGTGTTATGTGCATGGGTGTCCGTAGGCATTGTTTATTGCAGCGGTGTATACAGGTTTGTGTGCGAGGGCTGTACTGGGTTTCAATGACCTGAATTGGACATGGTATTGGATTTAGCTGTGTGTGAGCATGAGTTAATCCAGGTTGGATGCACAGGGATACTTGTTGTCATACTTGTTGTCATACTTTGACTTTGAGACGGGTCTTGATATTGCATGTCTATGTTAATTAAGACAAATGGTGGATAGTTTTTCACGGGTTCTTGTCTTGGGAATTAAGCTAGACCTCTACAACAAGAGTCTTGATGGTTGTCAGTGTTTTCTTGAATAGATTCTACGGGGATTGTTCCGTACCTGTTGATACCCAGTTGTGATTTCGAATATAATTTCATAATGGCCAGTATAGATCAGATAAAAGAGTTCTCAACCCTAGGTCGAGAGATGAGCCTTGCGGGTAGTGAGCTTAACAAGTTCGTTTCCGAGCGCTGCGCCGAAGTGTTAAGAGTAAAAGAGCTAGAATGTGATCGCGAAGAGCGCGAAAAGGAAGTGAAGCTAGCCGAGCTTCGGGTCGAGGAGAGAAAGAATGCCGGTGTTGATACGGGTGGTTTGAGGTTGAAAATTGGTAAATTTGATGACACATGTGATAAATTTGATGCATACATTACCAAATTCGAATTAGTCATGGCTAGTCAAAAGGTACCTGACAGTGTAAGAGCCTTACACCTTATTTCTAAATTGACAGGGCAGGCTTTGGAGGTAGTGAATAGAATGTCAAGGGAAAATCGCAAAGATTACGAGGCAGTAAAGCGAGAGTTGATGGAGTTCTATCATTTGACCGCCGATGGTTATAGGAGAAAATTTCGTACGGCGAAGCCAGAAAAGCATGAACAGCCTAGGCAATTCAGTGTACGATTGAAGGGGTACTTGCAGAATTGGATTGAGTTATCAAACATTGAAGAGGATTATGACTCCCTGTTTGATTTAATTCTAAGAGAACAGTTTGTGTATTGTTGCCCAAGGGAAGTTGAAGTGTTTGTTAGAGAGGGGCAGGATAGTAGCATTGATAAGGTTGTTGAAAGGGCTATGGTTTATGTAGGGGCCCATGGATTACATACATTCGGTACACCCCGCAATCCAGGTGGATTCAAACCGACGGTTACTAGTACACAAGGTGGTGTTAGTCCCGCTCAGCCAAGTGTCCCAAAGGGCAATGTTAACACTAAGGGTTTTAACTCGCGTACACCAAGTAGTAAGGGTGGAAGAGCTTATGATGCAGGCAAGCTTTCTGCTAGAGGTTGTTATATGTGTGGTAGCCAGGGGCACTTTAAGAACGAATGTCCGTTGCGCAAACAGATACATTCAGCGCAAGGAATGATGACTTTGGAGGGGACAGATTTCCCCACCCAAAGAGTAGAGGGTAATGACAGTTCTCAGTTAGTCGCGAGTGGTGTTGAGGATACAGGATATAGTATTGGTTCATTGAAGTCTGTGGATAGTTCACCAAATGCTAATACAGTGCATCTTGGTCTAGCTAGTATATGTTTACTACCAGTAGAAGCAAATGGATTGAATTCATTAGAGCAGGCAAGACAAAGCATTGTGAATAAGTTAGGCATGGCTTATGATCTGGTAGGGGCTATGACGAAGCATATGCCCGCAGTTTCAGGTAGGCTGGAAAAAGGGAACAAAGCAGTGTCAGTTTTGAGAGACTGTGGGTGCACTACTTGTGTAGTTAAATCCGAACTAGTCGATGAAGATCAGCTGATAGGGTACAAGCAGTTGGTGTTGCTCATTGATGGTACAGTAAGGGAGTTCTCAGTTGCGAGTCTGACAGTTGATTCTCCATACTATGTGGGTGAGATAGAGGCTTTGTGTATGCCTCATTCACTATTTGATGTTGTTATTGGGGATATAACTGGTGCACGTGAACCCCGCGATCCAGATTTGAACTGGGTACCTAAAGGAGGTAGAGTAGTAAGTGACGTTGCAGATCAGGTGAATAGTGATGGTGAGAGTACCATTGGTGAAGTCAAGGACACTATTGAAGTGCAGGTGGTTGATGAAGTTGAGCGAGTTGAGCAGGTTGCAAATATCTCTGGTGTGAAAGAGGATATTCCAGGGGTGATGGCAGTTGAAACTCGATCTCAGAAGGAGGTCAAGGTCAAACCGCTCAAGGGTTTGAAAATTGGAAGTCCCGTTTTCTGCATAGAGCCTGCAGGTTCTGTTCATGAACAGAAGAAAGATCCATCTTTGAGTTCATTGTGGAACAAAGTAGGTAGAGAGGAGGTTAACTTGCCAATGGCTGGCTGTTGTTATATAAGCAAAGAGAGTAGCGAGGTTTGTGAGGATTCAGCGGAAGATGTTGAGGTTCAGATTAGTGATGTTGATGGCGCTGACGTGACAGTGATGCCACCCATACATGAGAAGGAATTCATAGGGCATGTCAGGGTGAATGAGTCCATGAAAGAGAGACGTAGGAAAGGGATATCTCAGTCATTGCGTGAGTATCATGAGGTCTTTTCTGATGTACCATAGAAGACATCAGCCGCAAAGTGCCAATTGTTCAGGCATCTGACTAAGAATCATGAGATGAGTACAGGTTTAGGATGTAAAGGGTCAGGATAGTGTTGCAGCAAATGGAATGAGGAGAGTGTAAAAGGCACTACACATGTTTTTATTTTGGTCTGCGTACCATTGTAAATGATTGAATATGTGTATTATGTATCATGGGTTAACACAGTTTATTAATGTCAATTTTGTTGGATACACATTGCATTTAATAAGATTATGTAATATCTACGATGTTAGCACGAGATAGCAAGAGTTTTGTAGACATCATTTGTTTATTTTCTCGTAATTTTTCGAGCATAGTTTATGTATAGGGAGCTTGTCTGTCTAAATGGCAGCAGTTATTGTATTTTGACCTTGCAAACTACAAATGTATGTACCATCAAACTGTAAATGATAGTGCATACACACTATTATCCTGGATATTTGTTTCTACTGAAGGTTGATATTAAGAAGAAAGTATTACAGCAGTATTACATGTATTTTAGTTTATGCAAATGCAGGAATGTTAATCACTGCATTTTGAACCATGCCAATGTATATTTTAAACAATGCCAATGTATTTTTTTTGAACGGTGTCTATGTATGATACTCGTTATGAACTTTAGTGTTGGAGCTATATCATTGTGGACATTATAACAGATTTAGATGTGAGTTTTGCCATAATTAGCTTTGGACTTCTGTTGGTGGTCATCTTTAAAAGTCTTCAGGTATCACAAAGGTTGGACTCAAACGACAAACAATGACCGAGATGATGTCCCATTACGAACAATACTCCTTGTTATCACAGAGACTATGGTTTTTAGCATACGCGTTTACTCACAACTTGGACTGATATATTGGATCACAGAAAGAAACTGATGATACTTATTGGAAAGCTTTAATGACAATGTAATGATTTATGTTCAGTAAACATTGAAACAGTTTGCTTTAAAAATTCCATGAGATATGTAATTGCCAATAATTCTATGATTTTTGTAGGAAAAGTTTGATATTCAAATTTTCATGACATATGTATTTGCCAATATCTCTAGGTTTTGTGCAGAATATTGATTGTAAACATGCTATAGTAAGTACATTTGGAATGAGATGTTCAGTAAACATTGAAACAGTTTGCTTTAAAAAATTCCATGAGATATGTAATTGCCAATAATTCTATGATTTGTGTAGAAATTTTACTTTAGTAAATTGTTCTTAAAATGGGGGGCTAATTGTCACATGAGAATTAAGAATGATGTTACCCTGAATAGGGTGTGTTTTTCCTTTGGTGTTTGGATTTCAGTTACACCATGAATAAAGCCTCTTTGAGCCGAGACCTAAAACCAGTAAGATTAATTGTCGTTTTTGCGTGACACTATTGAATGTAGATAGAAATAGAAATAGCTGGCATACCCAGGAGGTTTTGAATGTGAAGGACCTGGCAAAGAAATGGGAAAGGGAAGTTGCTGTAGAATAATGGGCAGAACCCTTCAAGTCAGTGCTACGGTGCAGACGTTTAATGCACGAGGTAGTTTTATTTAGTGGCAGAAACTATTATTCTTTTTGTTCTGTTGATATTTGACGCCACGATTTGTAGGCTGAATATTAAACCTTCATTTAAACTTATACAATTGTGTTCTGGTGTGGTTTCTAACAAAGTAGCAGTTTTAAATAATTAAAAAAAAGTCACTCACGTGTCACAGACATTTTTCAAGGGCTAAGATGATCAAAATTCCTTCTTCAAATTGACAACACCTGCATTTACCTATAATTGTTACATTTTGCTCCTTAAAGCGGGTCTGCACTACTTGTGACTACTTGCGCCCTCTATACAGCCAACAATGCCTAAGCAGTACCCGTTGATCCCCCTTGGTCCCCTTTTTTGTATGGTAATTGAGAGCTGATTTGATGAGATAACCAACTGCCAGTGACCACGCAAGGAGTTAATCCCTCCTGGCCAAACAAGTGTAGATGGGCTTTAAAAGAACAAATCTGAAAACAATATACAATCTTCAATGGCCAAAAGCAATAGTGAAAATTGAAAAAAAACTGTCAAATTTTGTGGAAAAATAGTTCCTTTTAACAACTTGTCATCATGTTCCTCATTAAATCAATTGAATGCTTCTTTTCCATTAAAAAAAACGGAATTACCGGTAAATGGAAAATGGTAATTTAAGAAAATTATCATGTGTGCAGAAATTCCTTCTTCTGCTCATAATTTTCAAAAGACTATGAATCAAAATTTGAGCAAAATCTCAAAATGTGAGCAACTGTCCTGAATAATTCACTGCAACACAAGTCTAAAATGGTTGTTCAGTAAAATAAAACCCATTACTCGCATAAATCATCATGCATCGACCTGCATGAAAATATAAATCTCACCTAGCATTTCTCTTGAAAGGGTCAGTAAAGGTCTTGAAGAATTTGTCCTTTGACTGCTGGTTATTTGGAGGGACGTCGTTATCAAACTCAGGATCAACACTGTCATATGCTCGTCTTCTCACTAGGTTACCAAGAATCTCATACGCTGAAGTAAAGGTGTGATATGAAAGACGGGGTTATGCATGTACATCTTGGAAAGACCATAAGCATCACGACCTGCCAGCCAGGACTCTGCTTTGAAATGCATGTTAATTTGAATAGAAAGACCAAGGAGTTGACCACTCAACGAACTCACATCTCCCTAATGTTAACATCTTGCAGTGACATTGCATTTTAAGAGGCATTATCTATTATGGATCTAAAAATGTAGTACAACATTGGGCCCTTATATGTATGCATATTAAGGATCATTTGAATATAACTGATAGTATATATTGAAAATTTCATGCCATGAATTTCTTTTGGTCATAACAAGGCATGAAAATACATAAGTAAGAATCAAAACTTTCAGTCAATCAAAATATGTTTCTAAAGCTTAGAGATAGCTTAGATACAAACAGATTGTCATAGATCTTTGTAGCATAAGAAGCTTTCTTTGAAGAAAAAAGAGAAGCCAATTATGTTTAAATTTCTAGCCTTGTAGCAAATGTTTATTGAATCCCATTTCATTCAAAAGCCCATTACCTAATGAAAAATGTATAGATAGTAATCTTGACTACTTGACAACATCGAATCAACCTTTAAAGTCTCACCTTTTGTGATACAAGAGAAGTAATCATCATCTCCAGATTTCCTTACTCTGGTTTTCCTGTCATCTCTTTTGTCTGGATGATGCTTCAGAACCTTTCGCTTGTCTATTATCAAAGAAGAAAGAAAAGCCAGTGCAATGAAGTGACATGTATTATGTAAAGAGAGGTCACCTTTTAAAAATGATTTCCTAAGATACAGTTATTATAGAAAGAAAAAAAGACACACATATGCGTTTGCGTCTCCAATATGCCTCTGTCTAAATGCAGTTAAGATCATGGCTTGAATTATTCTTGGAATATCACAATGAGAACAAAAAGCCTATACTTACATGACAATTGATCTTTAGGACCTTTCAGCTGACAACCCCAAAATCTGATCACTTTGTTCTGTACAGTGATGCAGTTACAGGTATTAAGTTCTCACTAAAATAGCTTAAAGTAGATATTCATTGATTTTAAAAAATGACTTTATTTTCATTATTGCAAAGTTGAAACTTTGATTTGAAAAGTTTATCAAAATTCAATGCTTGGAAACATCGAAGTAATGATTATTATAAATTACAAAACGCTTAAATACAGCCCTGGCATAGCACCTGAAGAGCTCTCCGAACGCTGCTGAGATATGTGAGATCACAGTATGGACATGATTTGCACAAGCAGAAGATGTCCCATGACATCTCACACATTTTCAGTGCCTGTGTTTTCATCTTCTCTTGAGTTCTTTCTCTACTTCGCTACCGTCAGGCTAAATGTATAATCTATTGCCTCACTGTAAATCCCGTGCATGGTTTCATTTTGATGACAAATGCATCGATACAAAAATAAAGGAATCTTTCGCTTGTAAACAAAATAAGACGCCATTGTATCTTCAGCTGCACACACCGCGGTATGTTTGGGGTTTCAAGAGGGAACAAATGCCGTCCTTAATATCAATCGGGGGGGGGGGGGGGGGTTCAATTTGAAAATCTGGTTTCTTTGATTGTTAATTAACCCTATCCTGTGTATTTACAAGCAAAAGATTTTAGTTATCAGAATCGGGTCATATCCCCTTTTGAATGGTTTGACATGCCATTACATTTATATACACTAAACCCATTATAATTTGACAAATAATAGCTTTGCAATTATGCTCATTCTATAGGTCAAAAGACCTATAATTTTATGAAAATTGACTTGCCGACCTTTGACATTTGACCTTCTTTTACCGAAAATCTGATCAATTTGTCTCACAAAAAAGTGGGAAGGACGGACAGACTTACGGAAAAAGTGGGACGGACGGATAGTATGTATCACCATAGGACAACCTGAAATCCAAGATATCTTGCACCATACGTTACTGACTACATCAAAGATTTTAGCATACCTGATAATTGTTTGAAATCAATCAGCCCTACTAACTTGGATAAGAGAAACTTTAAATCTTTAATGTCAACTGTGATCCTTATATCTCGAAATGTGTAGGACAAAAAAAGACAAAATACTTCAGAAATAATAGTTGAGGTTTCCACTTGGCCAACTTACGAGCTTTCTTGATGTCATGTTGTGTTGCTTTGTATCTCAGTTTAGAGAGCCCCAGTATTGCATAGTGATCATGGTCCTGTTAGAGAAGTAAGAACATAGTATTTTTATTTAGTAAATCATCTGAAATATAGCACGTTCAACTTGTGTAAAGATCGTCGACTATAAGTAGGCCTGCATATTGAAAGTGACATTTGATTTAAATGCACACGCACACATATATAGAGGAAAACTACTCCCTAGAAGGAGAACCACCTCATATAAAGAAGAGTAGTTTTACGTAAGGGGATCAGTTGCCCTGATACAGTTCACTTTATTTCAAGAAAATATCCATACCCAGGATCACTTCATGATGTAACATAGAACAAAAGTTTGCAAGAAAAAAGTGTTTTTGTATTTTCACTTCAAAATCAAGTTCAGACACTGACATCTTATGTTAGACCTACCAGTATGTGTTTATTTTCCAAGAGTTTCCAGAACTTTGTCTGAACAAGTTACTAGATCACTTTCAACTTTGAAGAAGCAAGTTATTGATTCTCTTTTGTTGTTAGATTAGCTTCAGACTAAAATACCTTCTACTCCTCAAGAACAATTTTAGGGCCGGTGCATTTTCAATGTAATGTCAATACAGGCTTCAAATGCTTTTGATTCCATGTCAGACTAATAATATTGTTTGTTTTTTCCAAGACTTTCAAGAACTTTTCAAAACAATTTCCACTAGTTTGAACTTTAAAGCCGCAAGTTAGATATACCTATTTTTATTTTGTTTAGTTGTCAAATTAGCTTCAGACTGAAAAACCTACCACTCCTTAAGATCTTACTAAGGTTTGAAGCATGTTCTATATCAATGTAATCTTTACATTCTTTTATTTCATGTTAGACCAAAATGGGTTTATCTTCCAAGGCTTTTCATAACTTGTCCAATTGTCACCAATTTGAAATTCGAAACACCAAGTTCATATTCTCCTCTACCTTATACTCCTTGGGATCTAAAGTTTGGAGCATAGCATCATCTTCATCATCATCATAGAGATCCTCCTCGGCGGACTCCTCCTCGTCATCATCACTTGGCAATGATTCTGTGTACGATGTTGACAGGTGATTGCGCTGTCTGTGGAGCCTCACTTCAAACCATCGTCCAACAGGCTCAATTTGGACCGAGGTTGGAGCTGATGAAGAAAGAAAAAAAAGGTCCGGGATAATTGATGATCATAAGGACAACTCCTGAACTTAAAGGGATAGTCCACCCTGATATTACCGGTAAGTTAGTTTTCATAGAAGCAGAAAAATGAGAGCAGCAGATCAGTTAAGGTTTGAGCAAAACATGATTAAAAATAAGTAAAGTCAGAAAATTTGAAGTTCCGATCAATTAATCCAACACAAATTCAATTCAATTCAATTCAAATGAGGTTTTATTCAAGACTTGTCAAAAAGTCCAAAGACTAAAAATGCAAGTTTACATCAAACATACAAAAAAGCATGTAAAAACATGTTGTACTGTAAAACATCATCAGAAAAGAAAGAGGTAGAGAGGAGGGAGAGACAGAAAGTGTGAGAGAGAAACAGGGAGGAGATAGGAGAGACAAAGGGAGAAAGAGGAAGAGGCAGGGAGAAAGAGGAAGAGGCAGAGAGAGCAGAGAGAGGGGGATGGGAGTAAAATAGAAATAGAAATAGAGAGGAAAGACCAGAACTGAAGAAGAGAAAAGGAAATTTGAAAAGTAGCAAGTTCAAATAGAGAAAAGGGATGAGAGAGTGAGAGGAAGGATACAAGTACAAGCAATATAAGAAGGAATGGAAGAACCTGTTGTGCCAATCATAAATATTGCACATAATTATATTGCTGAAATACATGACATATAACATACCGGTACTGATAAATTGGCAACTTTGTAATGTACATGTATCTTGCGAGGTTCCCTCTCATTTGCTCTTTACTTGATCAATCAAGAAATTTCTATTTTCCCTTTTTTTTTAAATTAAATAATTTCAATTTATTATTGCAAATATGTGATCTATCATCCACAGCCTATTACATAAACCCCTGTATGAATCAAAATCTATTCCATCACCAATAACTAAGAAACTAAAAGCTTATGAGATTTTCTGTTCAGAGCAAATTGAAGAGGACCTCGCGAAAAACGTCACAGAGTTGCCAATTTGTGTTTCACTGATGATATGACAACTTCAAAAGTTTACAACTTAATTTTAATTGGATATTGCTCAAGCTTATTTTGTCTTGTTTTTTCAACAAAGTAATTTTGCATTCAGCCAAAATTTCGCAACAATGCAATGCCAACAAAGTTTTAAAACTTGCCGTAAAACAAAAAACAAAACCTTGAATTTTGTAAAGGTACATAGATCTACTACATGACATCAAGTCGACTTGTTTTTTAATTGTAAGACTGTTAAAAACTCAAATTTTAAATGAGGTGAATAACTATGACTTCGCTTAGGTCCCTTTCCTTCATTTTCAATGCCATCAAGTTGATAATGTTATTGTTATGACATTGACAAGTACAAGTCTCTATAAAATTATATTGAGCTGAGTCTAGAAAAATTATAACATTCAATTTCAAGAACAGTTCAGGCTTCAGAAATATAAAACAAATTGACTTACCGGTCAGGGTGCCATATATTTCTGTTTCATCTGTGTCTGATATTGCTGGTGGTAGCAGCAACATAACCATGATGAGGCCGGGGTAACACGAACTGAGAGATGAAATGTATTAAAACAGTCTGAAAAGGCAAGATATCTAGAGTAGGCTGCATGTGTACAGCTATCATAGCAGTACATGTAATGTATAGCACATGTGTTGTGTGTAGAGTATAACGCGCGGTACGCGTACGTAATGCGCTCTTAATATGGCAGGCCAATCTCTCAGCTAGTTTATGCATGGACTTAAATACAAACTAAAACAAAAAACACCTGTAAATGAGATGAGTAAAATTAAGTAATAAAAATTTCACAAAAAATTATTCAAAATTCTCTTCGATTACTTTGATAATAACATATTTGGTACAGAGAGATCCAATTAAGTATTGAAATCGTTTTTCATATCTAAGCTACGTCATCAGGCTTGTCATAACTTGATAACGAAACGACCGACAGATCAGACCGACCGACAGGCCAAAAGTAATAGTATGGAGCTAATCGGACTATATTTTTACATTTCAGCGTTATTTGAGTACCTTTTGATTGACCATTTAATTAATTGATGATCATCATTAGTCGACGCCTAGCCTTAGTTATCTGATTTGCGAAGAGTGAGCAAGAACCACAGCCATTCAATTTCATTACATTAGCATCGGACGATGAACAGTTTTGCCGCCTGCACTTCCGCGGTGTCGGTCATCGCGGATCGCGATCACTCGCCCTGCTTTGCAAGCTGCTGCAAATAAATGTGACGTGTAGACTCTAGACATCTACTCTGTTGAGAAAACCCCCGGGGGAAAAAACATGGATATTTGTTAACCAACAACAACAGCCAGTAGATCAGTAACAAATTAGACTCTAGATAATAGAAGATTTCAACATTCCATTTAAACAGGATATAGATCTAGTCTAACTGTTAGAGACGATCTAGGTCCCATCCAGATGGCATAATTCCATGATTTAGCTTTTCAACATTCATACCAAATTATTTTACCAATTAGAACTAATCAAACTAAAATTTCTAAATTGAAAAAAAAAAGGGTCAACGAGGAGATCTCTTTCACTGAAGTCAAAGCAACAAAGGTACAATCATGGCAATGCCCACAAATGAATCGTCCACTGACCACTGCAAACCGGAAAATTTCACAGATCGTTTTGGAATGCTCGAGCAAGGGATTCTTGCATTTCTTGCCTTCAGTTTTTTGATACGTAAGTAAACCCTTCTTCTTCTTCTTCTTCAAGATAATCTGCCTTGTTCAATACTGAAGATTCTTGCAGATGCCGTATATACTTGGCCTGATTGAAGTGTGTGGATGAAGTACTACACCGGGGTTTCCCCCTACTCTTATACAAATATACCCTTAACCATATAGGCCTACTGATTTTCTTAAATTTCTTTCTCTTTTTTTCTTCTGATTTTTCCTCTGATTTTTCTTCATTGTCTTCTTCTTTTTTTTTCTTTCTTCCTTCCTTCTTTTTCATTTTCCTTTCTTCTTTTTCATCTTCTTTTGATGATGATGATGATGATTTGGGATTTTTTTTTTTTTTAACATACAAAAAAAAAATACAAGTAGACTAGGCATTATGAACTTTTTACAAATAAGAACTTTATCTGTGATATATACCACATAGCCATTTGGCTATTTAAGCATTTTAATAAAGTGACTTGCAATATACATTGCTTCATCTTTCTGATATAAGAAAAACAAAAATCAAAGTTAAAATGAACCTTGCAGAACTTTACAAAACCACTCAAGAGCAAAGACTAATAAAGCTCTTATTGTTTAAAGATTTTAAAAAGAAATCCGGTTAAAGTAATGAGAAAGTAAAAATCTATAAGACTTTGAAAGCAAGTTCAAATAAAGTCAAAGAAAAAAAATTCTACATGATAATTTAACTTATTTAAGACCTACATTTATAATCTTTTCTTCTTGCAATTCAAAATGGGATTTTATTTTAGATAATTTTGGAAAATGTGAATGAAGATAATAAAGAAATTAAATTAATTGATTATTAATTGTAATGCAAAGTATACGCTTTGTATTAATTGTAAAAAGCGTAGACTACATGATGTACATACAATAAAAAATAGCAGTGTTTTTTAATGTACATGTACATTTATATTAATTTGTTGTTCTTGCTATTTTACACACGGATCTTACTTGCACCTTTCAAAATTAATTTGAGTACTACTGGGTATGAAAGTCCCACTTGGAGAGAAACTATGGTACATGTACATGTACATGTAGCTCAAAGTAATTATAAATTGTTGATCATGCAGTAGGTGGGTAGTATATGAATTCAAATTAAAATATTAAACTAACTCACATACATGTACATGTACACTTGTTATTTAATAATATAAATCACATGGATTGAAAAGGAGAACTCATGTTTGCATAGTACATGTACATACATAGGAGATCATATTTTACATACAAATGTGCAATTGTGCATAGTTTGGGACATGTACAAGTGTATTTTTTCTTTCTTGTTTGTATGAAATATCCAAGCTACTGTATCTATTATTATGTAAATGTACTACATGTATAAATAACCCAAGCCGTTTGACAAAATATCATTTATTTGTAGTTATTCACATTCAGTGTAAGTTTTAGGTATTTGAATCTGTGACCAAGGGATAATACACCAGAAGATGAAATGATACAAAGTAAATTCATCAACTGATAATCCAGTCTGATACTGCTTTTTTATAAAATTTGAATACATAAATACAACAACAACATTTTATTTTTTATTATTGACCCAATTTTTTCTTCTTCAGTTACATAGTAAATTGCATTTTTTTAATAATTTGGGCATATTCAACTCTTTACCAATAAAACCATGTTTATGAATTTTAGGAATGTACAGCATAATGAGTGCTCCAGTAAAGGATTATAAAAGGTTGCAGAGGCAGCATGTTAGCAGGGTATTTTGTGATGTCATTATAAATTCATACCCTGCAGGGAGAGCATACTGATGTGCAATGATCCTTGGCATAGAGCTGTGAAAAGATGGGGAGACAGAGAGAGAGAGCGAAAGAGTGAGCGAGTGAGAGAGATAAGGACAGATAGAGTGAGCGAGAAACAGGACAGAGGGAAGGAGGCGCTATGAGCTGAAAGAGGGAGAAAGGGAAAGAGAGGGGGACATGACATCAAATCCAGTAAAGGGTATTTACAACAAAATGGAAATTGTAATGTTCTCACAGTGTGAATTGTGGGCCTTTTGCATAAAGTTCAGTAAGGTACAATTGTTCATACATACAACATGTATGTGATTTTAAACACATTACTGGTACATTCAGTGTACACAAGAAGAAAATTTGTGTTTTGCAACTTTGCACACATATGTACAATACATGTTGGACTGATTTGATAGTGGTCTTTCTTTCATATGTCTTCTTCTCTCAAATGGTAAACGATTTGCTATTTAGGGGTCTCTTTCTCTTTGTCAACAACAAAAAGATTTTTGAAGTAACCCCATGTCCATTTTTAAAGTGTTTATTCAAAACTGTCCATCTGTTTAAAGACAGTAAACAGATATTTCAAAATTCACAAGGAGCTGGTGACACGGTTTAAAGGGAAAATCCTGACATCCTTTGACACGACTTAGTTTCAATGTAAACATGCTTTTGTGTGGTAGAGTCAGCAGACCACTTAGTCAGGCTATAAATATATTTGAGTGCATCTAAATGTCACCCAGGTCAATTTAGTTGATTAACAGTGTAGTATTGTTTGTAAAAGCAATCACAAACAGTGGCTGAATGGCCTACATGTATTGTATCATACAATCTTAGTTTTGATAAACAGAAAAGGACAAGGTGATTTATCAGTCAAAGTTTGAGGAAAATCTGATGAGATAAAAATGTTCTCTTTTTAAAATTTGTAATTGACCAAATACAGATCAGCAACATTATGATCTTCCTTGTGAGAAGAAGCTACATGTACATCATGTACATGTTTTTTTTTTCTAATACAAATTGTCAAAATATCAGTTTCCATTGTTTGTGATGAAAGTATAGATGTATTTTTGTATCTAGAGTGGATGTGTGAAATGAAGGTCAACTTGTAAGGCACAGGTACCTGTACTATTGAGAAAAATATCTGAAATTGTCAGTCCTTACCGAAAAGTAAGAAAAGCTGGAAACTAGGGAAATTTAAGAGTTGTCATCTTGTGCTTGATCATTGATGAATCACAAGTTTCTTGAGAAAACTGTAAAAGATTTATTTGAGTCATTTTCTGCTTTTAAAGCCGACTTTATGTCAGCTTACATGTACATGTACAATGTACAGACAGTCGGGTTGACTTCCCCTTTAAAATTAGACTGCGTAAATATCAGACAAGTTGAATAATGCTGATTGTATTGGGTGAATCTTTATGGTGTGTACACAGATAGATCAATTTTGTTCAGTTGGTGTTTAGAATACATTTCAGCCCGTCCACAAACATGATTGCATATGGTTTTAAGAATACATGTACTGTACTTGTAAATTTAGGTTCAATAGACACAATATGAAATAAAAATTGCTTGCGGTGTGGATTCATGAATAAATCTTATCATGGGTTGTGTATCATCTACAGACAGGGGGTGTATTAGTATTAGTCTCATCAAGCTCTTTGATATTGGGGGAGGAGGGTATACATGTACATAATATGTACATAATATGTACATAATATGTACATGTAACTGGTCTTTCTTTGCCATCCATATTTTTATTTTTTTCCATTTTTCCATTTCGCCTCATCCCCAAATTGTCCACAAATGGACTCACATAATGTAGAGCATATCATCTGAAGCTCTAAATAATGGATTGCACAAATGACAGAGAGGTCAGTTTCAGCCGATGAGTATTTTAGTGAAATACTACCTGCATATATTCATCCACTGATCAGTCTTATTCAAGCCAAAGCCAAAGTCATGTTTAAAAGCAGATGCATTTTTTTTCTCCAGAAGCATATATGTGCAAATGTACAAAATTGGTTACATGTACAGGTAAATGAAATTGTAGTACAATTTATTTGAAATATTGAAACTACCATATTAATTTGATTAAAAAAATTCAAGAGCTTTTATGAAAAGGAAAATGATAATATATGTAGGCAGGTACATGTACATGCTTGTATCGGGTGTATCTCAACTCACAGCAGTAATTGTTAAAAATTGTCAAAAGGTCATCTTACTACAATCTATGTAGCAAATATGTCATTGTAGTGGAGAAATGTCAAAAATAATACAGCACAGTTAAATTCTTAATTGGAGATTGATGAATTATTGTAAAGCACAATGTCAGATATATAATAATAATAATAATGAACGATATTTGTATAGCGCATATAACACAAAGAAAGTCCCTATGCGCTTAGAAAAGAAGGAAATAGAGATAGGGCGGAATAGAAATGAACATTTTACCTGAAAGATGAAAATAATTAATTACAAACAACAGTAATGATACACAATTCCTACATGTATTTAATAGCTTTACATGCGTATGTAATAATTTGTACATTCAGGTAATACACATTTTTAAATGACAATTAAATGAAAATTAAATTAAATATTAAATATGTACATGTACTACATGATACTATAACCAAAGAAGTCACTAAACAGCTGGAGCGAAATTAACAATCTACAAAAAGGGGTCTTTAACAGAGTCTTAAAATTTAAATGACTCTGTTGTGCTTGCCTGTTTGACAATATCAGGCAAGCTGTTCCACAATTCGGCCAAAGAATGTTTGAAAGAGCGAGTGCCATAATATTTTGTTTGAGTGCTTGGAGTTACCAGGAGGGATTTTACTATATACATGTATGTACATGTACTTGTTTGTCATGTTGTTGCAAGTTACCCAATTCTATGATAGAACACTGCTTGGAAATCTTTCACATTACAGGTCAAACCTAAAGTCTATTTGAGTTTGTGATTTTGACTGTCCCAATTTACCTTGAATTTGTCTTTTTTATTTACAGTTAAGAGACTAAGAGAACCCAAGGATGAGAGAAGGCCTTGGAAGATTTGGTAAGTTAGTTTTACAACCAGAAAAACTAGAACCTTTGCATGCATGAAATGTTTGTGAAATTCACAAATGGTTCAGATTCGCAAAATTGTCATGCTGCGAATAATTCATGCAACAGTATTTGTTTTTGCCACATTTTCTTGCAGCGAAATGGCCATTTATACATACATGTATGACTCCCAAAAGTTTCATCGCATGAAAGTTCTGTTTATACGGTATAAAAGTGAGGAGAAATAAACAGAGAATATTATAGGGAAGCCTACCTTGATGTTTTCTGATCAATTCCTAGATATTTGTCAGTTTAAATACCCTATTTATGTATGTGTGAATGACTGGATTAAGGTAAAATTGATAGCTTAGAATGCCAGGTACAACTTCAGATGGTATTCTGATTGTCAAAGCATTTCCAGAAAATTTGTTATTAATTGTTCATGAATAATGCGCAGTGTTCCTGACATATTTTGTTTTGAGGAAATACCAGTGTAGAGTCCAATATGAAGATGTACATGTACTGTATGCAGTGCATTTCACACATCGGTGAGTTGACATGGGTACATACATTAGATTATGGACATTCAATAGAGAATTTATAATCGTTGGACATGTGGCTACATTCCATATTTCATGGATGATTGATTATAATAATCTGATGGATCCCAGTATGACATTGTGTTGGTGTGAAAAGGAAGTGAGAAGTGAAACAAATAAATGGAATTGACATTTTGGGGAAAGATTAATTGTGCCTAGATACACTGTACAGGTATGCGTAGTAATTATTGCTTTCCTGTTGGTATGTGTTTTGTTATCACTACCAGTGACATGTAAGTGCATAAACACATAATTTATAGAGCAATATTGGAAAATGTGAAAAATGTTGAACCAAACTTATGTCAAATTATATGCAGCAAAACTAGATTGAAACAATGTATCCAATTAATAAATGTTTTGTCTCCTGACGTATAATGCACAGGCAATTTAAGTAGTAGGGTATAATGTCACACTTGAGGTTTTTTTTTTAAAGTCTGTAATTTCATATATTTATGTTTTTTGATTGAGTTTACCTGTAAAACATCTTGCATGAGGCTAAGTAAAACATATTGGCCCAAATTCACAAAGGAGGTTTAGATTTAACCCATGGTTTAAACCCTCATTTACATAACCCATGGTTTAAACCTTCATTTACATAACCCATGGTTTAAAATAAGCACAAAATAAGCACGACACAAGTCAGAGGTCCAATATTAGACGCGCACAAGGCAAAGTACGCTTATTTTGTGCTAATTCAGTTTTAAACCATGGGTTATAAAATGAAGGTTTAAGCCATGGGTTAAATCGAAACCTCCTTTGTAAATTCAGGCCATTGTTTCTGTTCCTTCATCCGCTTCTACTTTATCTAAGTGCTTCCTTTATTTGTTTATTTATTTATTTATTTTTGTTGTTGTTTATCTGGTCCCTTCTACCAACCAATCCATGTCTCTTATAAGGGAGTTTACAGATAGCACATGGTACAAATGACCCCAAATATCCACAGATCTTTTACACATGGAGAAGTTCCACTTTGAGCATCTTTTGAATAATGTCTGCCAAAGTCCTAGATGTGCTTCATGAATACCTTTTGTTTGACTTCTTGAAAAGAATACTTCCACCTGCGTATCATAGAATGTACCGTTAGTGCATGAATGAATAATGTCACATAACTTTCATGAGCGCATATCCGGTATTCATCTCTGTGGTTTTTACCATTTTGGTACAAATGACCTTTATCTGCTCATACGCAGATTGTATCTGTAAACTCCCTTATTGTATAATATCTAAATATAATTGTATGAAATGAATTGTACTTAATATTTGCTGTTGTTAAATAAACAAATCAGATCAAGTCAAGTCCAATATGTACATGTAGACTTCTAGACCAGAAAGTAACAGCAACAATAATAAAAACCTGTTTTTAAATTGTTATGAAATATGAATATAGTTTACAATTGCATACAAATTATGAACCAGACCTTTTTTGTAACGTTTGGAAGTTGGAACAGACCTCATAGCATAATTTGTATTCCTTAGAATGTACACTTATACATGTACTTGATTTACAACCCTCTCCAGTCCTCTTCTCATAATTTGCAGGATGTGGATGAGAAAAATACAAATAATTTATACTTGTTCTTATGCATATAGCTGAATAGTTATTACTTTAGTTAATGTATAATCTCTTGCAGATATTGCATACAGCAGCTTCAAAATTAGATTCTGAATGCCAGCAGCAGGCTGTGTATCGAGATAGGATTATAGTTCTAACTGACAATCCAATTAACTGCTACATCTCATTTATCCTCTTAATTGAAACTTGAGGCTGCTTGGCATACTGTTGAGGTTATTGAGGTGTCTCCTCTGTATTGCTTACATTATGGGCACGCTGCCTGTCACTCGGAATGAAGAATTAAAAGCGTCCACATGGTATTGGCAGATATTGAATTTTGGTCGACTGAATGTAATTAACAAGGTTTTGATACTGTGTGTTACTGTGTAGTGCATACAATGTACAATGTACATGTGCATACCGGTATGTACATGTACATGTAGGGAAGGTTGTATTTTAATGTAGCAAACCTTGAGTGAAAGTATTTTGATATATACATGTGTCATTATTTGCTTAATTACATACTTATACATGTGCGTACTGATCATGGATGACATTGTTTCTGAACTTATAATTTATAACTAGCAGGACCCGCGGAAATCCACGGGATTCTAGAGGGGGAGGGCGGTGTAAATAGATATATAGAGAATGTCTAAATTAAAACCACCAATAACGTTATTTGCCATTCAGGCCATTACAAAATATACATGTTTAGCGTCCCCGCCTGCTTCCTTTTTGGGGGCCGCCTCCTATTTTTTTTTTTTTTTTTTTTTTTTTTTTTTTTTTTTAATTTTTTTTGAAAGAAAAAAAAAAGAAAAGCACTGCTAAAATGTATTTTTGATTTACAAAAAAAAAAAAAAAAAAAAAATTTCGGCCGCCATCTTGAAAAATAGCCCGAATGCTAGGGAAAATGTACGGAGCGGCCATTTTGAAAGAAAAAAAAAAAAAAGCGCCTCCTCCTTCCCATTTTTCAAAAAAACAGGACGCTATAAGCATGTTTTTTTTTTAATTTGGCCTTACATTAAATTTAAAAAAACAATCCAACTGTACCGGTAGTTATTCTTTAAGCCACTGGAACTGCGTAGCGTTCCGTAGTGTGGCGTACCGACTACGCAGAAATTAGGCTGCGTATTAATGGGAAAATAGTCCCTGCGTAGGTTATGCGTAGGCTGGCGTACAGGTTTGCTTATGGTTGCTTACTGTGTGGAAAGCTTTTACTGCTTAGTCGATCTGGCGTAGGGTAGCGTACTGTTGCGTAGGCATGTAGCGTAGTGTTGCGTAAAAAGGCGTACTTTCTGCGTCAAGTTTCTACGCCGAAAGTACGCAAAAAAAATTAAACATGTTGAATTGTTTTCGTTCACCTTGCGTACCCCTTTCCGTCCCTCAGCATATAGTGACGTAGGCCAGCGTAGTTGGTACGCAACACTACGCAACTCTACGTATTGACCCCACGCCAATTAGTGACCCGCAAGTGTCACAAATAAAGTATTAAAAATATGCTCATCTGACCCTAATTAAACGCCTAAAACCCCCGAGCTTTTGGGGGTTTATGGCCCCTTGAAACCCGTGGACCCCACGCCTATTTTATATATACACTCAACTCGCTGCGATCTGATCTCTCCCCCCCCCCAACTTTGAAGAACGTAACCTCCAAGCTTTTGGGGGTTTATGGCCCCTTGAAACCCGTGGACCCCACGCCTATATTATATATACACGCAACTCAGGACCCGTGGAAATCCGCGGGATTCTAGAGGGGGGCGCAGGCAAAAAATTAAGTTTTTCATTTCGGGGGCTCCATTTCAAATTTTAGGGAAATTCTCGGGGGCTCTTTTTTCTGGGGCTACTTTTTCATTAAATCATATAAGGATAGGCCTACACTTTGTTGAGATTTGTTTAGTAGGCTATTAGGTTTCAGGCTTCCTTCTTCATAATTGCCTATTTAAAAAAACAAAACATTTTTCTAGTTCAATAACTAAGTTTTCATGCATTGATTTGATGCAAGAACTTTAACATAATAGAACCTAGATTGTGAATATTTCTGACCATTAATTTCGATAATCATTTTTCAAAGTAAAATTTTCACAAGAAAATCTGACAGTCGTTTAAAAACGTAGACATTAGTAATACTTTTACTAATTCTAAGCTCAGGTTTCGTAAATCTATTCACGAAACTATATTAAAATCGCGGCAATAATGATGCAAACCAACAGATAACAATTTCAAAGTGTCAAATCTCTTCGACTCAAGCTTAGGTGAACTCACACACACTGCAGCGTAACTCCTTAAGCTCAACACCGGCGCCGCAGGCGTCGGACGCCTATGGTGCGCGGTGTTGGAGCTTACTGCAAGCTCATCGCAACTCACACACACTACACATCAGCACTGCACTTTGTGTTGACTGAAGGCAGCTTGCGACGGAACTGTCAGTCCAATGGTTTTCTTGGGAAAACTTTCCTTTAGAAAATGATAATCAAATTTTAGTATACATTGCCGTAATAATCACAAAATAAGCTTTCATTTCATACCTACATTCACGAAAACTATATACAAATCGCGGCAATAATGATGGAAATAGGTCTCTAAGTTTGGACGTGGACGGGAAGCTTCGTGTGTATCTCTGTGGCTTGTGCCCGACCCTGTGCATAGTGCATTTAATACGCAACTTAATGTGAGTGGATGGTCATCGGTCGTGTGTCTACGGATGTCATGTTGAATATCCATGAGGTATCTCTGTCGTCACGCATATCCTGCATTATGCATGTCGCGTCTGTTTTCGCCCTGGACGTCGACACGGAGGAGGACCTCGGGCGGAGTATAGCCAATTCGCTAGAGTAGACTCTCCCGCGGACGACGGCACCGGGCACGGGTACCCCGAGGGGAGGGTTCAGGAGGAGATAGCCGCACCAACTTGGGTCGGCGATCTCATTAAAAAACAATAGAATACAAAGGCTCGCCGAGACGTCGCGCCCCCCGCGGAGCCTTAGCGTATTATTATTATAGATTCCATATAGTATACAGTATATATTTTATTTGCATTGATGAATCTCAAATTAATGTCAAATTGGGAATTTCCAAAAGAGCTGTAGAGTCAGAATTGTCCCCTTGTGTTTTCAGGGCCCTCTTGCATATATATAATTAAAAAGTTTCATATTTTAATCACAACTTAAAAAATTAAACGCAAATCCCAAATGAGCGATCCTGATTGGTTGAAAATCAAGTTGTCTTTAGTTTTTTAATGCAACTTTTTATGCAATAAATGAGGGTCCTGAGATAGCCCCAACCTCTTGTTGTATGAAAGCTGAATGTGTACAAAGATTTCAAAGAATATAATCATAAATTTGTTCTAAGAAAGACCAACTGCATTTAAGTTGATAGCCAAGAAAAACAATATTGTGCGCTAATAAATAGAGAGGAAACCATGGGTTAGGATGTTTGACATTATACATGTACATTGTATACCTGTATAGTTCCAAATCTGTATAGTTCCTGCAGCTGCCTTACCATGGTAACCGGTTTTTGGCTGGAAATTTGTTGTAAGAATGTTCAGGTGTCTTGGCCAGATTTGTGTTTAAAGGTAGACAATATGGAATCTACTTGTCTTGTTTGATATGATGTTCTACACATAAATAAACAGTTTACAGTACACATGCACTTTATGTTGACAGTGTATAGACTATAGACCACTGTTGAACTACGGTACAATGTACGGTACACTCAGCAAAAAAAGAAAGTACACTTTTTATAGTAAAGATTTTCAAATTAATTGAAAAATGAAAATTATCTTTCATACACTGTATATAAGAAAAAAGAAATATACAATAATCCTCTTTAAAATGATTTGCAATTCTCGCTACCCTAAATAGGTACGAAAATCTCGAAATTCGCGAGACGAGGTAATTTTCACTCTCTCGGGTCATCACTACAACTTCCGGTATAGAGTCCCATCCCGCTGGCGCTAGCGCCTGTGTTCGCTGTGCAGAGTTTTCACGCACGCTAAAATCGATGAACTTCAGGGTTCTTACGCTTGGAATCATGAGCCCAGCACTGTGCAGCCTCACAAAAGAAAACCATCGTCACTGATGTCAAAAGACGCAAAAAACAACGAATGAAATGTTCAAATAAACGTTGAAATATTTGCGAAAAAAAAACAAGACCGAGCAGACGACATATTCGGTGCATACACGTTGTGTGGCGACGGCGTTTTACGTTTGCGCTATCGCGCCTAGTAATATAGCGCCTGCACAGGAAGCTGTAATGTCGAAAAGCTATCCCATAATGCAATGCGCGTTTTCAGGATTTTCCCCGGATCTCGGCAGAATCGCTATTTGGGGTAGCGAGAATTGGAATTATATCATTCACGCATGAGTGAGCATAGCCATTTAACAGAAAATAAGCCCCTGAAAGAAAATTGCAAAATGGGCCATCTGGCCATTCAAATGTTGATGAGCATAAATTTTCATCATGTAGAGTCTAATTATTAAAAACAATCATGAGAAACATGTAAGGAGAGCTCTGATCTTGACTGTGTTTGTCAAAACAATGTAGTGCTGAGACAATTACAGTTGACATTTAGAGCTCCATCCTCTGTATATTGTTACTCATTCGTTGCTGCCATCAATTGTTGAACAAGAATATCTTACAGGTGCACATGTTTGAATGGCTACTTGCTCTATTTTTTGCAATTTTTGCAAACCTTCTTACTGTTAAATAAATGTGCCATTCAAGCATGAGAAATAAATACTGGATCTTATTTGATGTTAGTAGAGTATACTAAATTTCCTTTAATTTGATATATATTTATTATATCTTTTTGATGGTTTATACAACTATTTTCAACATTAACGAGAGTGTAGATTAGGTTTCAATCCGTGTTTTCCTGACTTTTAATAAAAAGCTGGGAAGGAAGTGAGGTAGCAAGTAAGTACTGCATTACAAGTTGTGCTCTTTCATGCACATGTACCGGTATGCAATATACATTGTTTGTACATGCATGCTTTACATTGTAGAGTCAGAATGACAACAGGCATTAATATTGATTTTTGTTTACATAATGCGTGTAGCGTGTGAGCAATAACATGACGTAGTGTACTCTCAATGCAAACGTGAGTGTGCTAGATTCATGTACACTGTAGATTATCCTTATCACCTCTCCCATACCTTCCTGTTTGCATAATCCAGAATTTAATTTAAATCATAATTTTTTCAGAATGTGAAATCATGTACATGTACACTGTACATACATTGTACATGTATGTGTACACATTGTACACATGTAGCTCAGTACTGCATAGGCTAATTCTATACTGATTTACATTATTCAAATTAAAAGTCCATATTCCACAGACTGCTTTGTATACTGGTACTTCATTTCTTGTAATGAAGTGTTAATGAAATCTCAAGGAGTTATGTTTTATCAAAGAAATACAGCTTGCCGGTATATATATTTTTATGACTGTTTTCATACAATTACGGTAGGCCTACTTCATACTTGATGTAAAAATATAAAAGTTGGAAAGTTTTACCGAAATAGAGATTGCGTAATTTGTCAGAAAGTGAATATCTGATTATTCAAGAAATTATTTTAGGAATAATACTGTCATCAAACATATAAAATCCAAATAAATTTGTAATCCTTCAAACGAAGGACAGTGCAAAGTTCAGTTAAGAAATTTAAAAGAGTTATGTTCTTTATATGCTGCATAATGTACCTATTACACTTTTTTTTACAAAGAAACTTGCTTTAATTATGAATTTGCACATGAAGGCTTGATCTTTAACGGAGTGATTTATCACATGTTTAATGACAAGATGAGTTATCAGATGAATACAATGAGTGACAAATGGATGAACTTCAAATATATGTAAAACTCTTCAGGTAAACATGTGACTTGATGATCTTCTTATAAATTCTGCCAATTTAATGATTTGTTTTGTATGTTTGCAGGTTTTTCGATACCTCCAAACAGGCTCTTGGTGCTGGCCTGATCCATGTCTTCAACATTCTATTGTCAATGATTTCCGTGAGAGGAGATGCCTGTACTTGGTAAGATGGCTTTATCTTCCTCAATAATGCTATTTAGAGTGAGATCATCATCTAGCCCTTGGGCACCCTTTGGGACTTTGGGACTTTTCGATACCGTTCTCCATCTAACTCTATCTGTAACACGTTCGTCTATTTTCATTTATACTGTCCTTCCAACTTTCTTTGGTTGGACCATCTTTTTTCCTCTCCTTCTCCCATTGTTCTGCAGTCCATCCGATGAATAGTGAGATTACATGTATTTTTTAATGATTGTGAAAAGGAAATTGGAATGAAATCAGTTAAATGTGTTGGAAGTATTGTCCTTTATATTTGTATGAAAAAATGTGTTGGATACTTTGATGATTTGTCCATGATTCCAGATGATTTTTGTATAAATAGTATATTTGTAAAGCGCTTAGAGACATTTTTATTAAGCGCTATATAAAAATTAAATATTATTATTATTATTATTATCAATGATTGAGAAAAGAAACATCAAATTGAAGCAATCATTGAAGAGCTGATGTTGCTCATTGCATGGCTTCCTGCAGAGCAACTCCTGTGTACTGTCCTTTATATTATACACAGAAATAAAAAAGCAAATTACTAGGCTATTGCTTTTTAAGCATATTCAGCCCAGTGTTTTATGATCATTCGTTTTCTATTTATCCCCATCTTTATACACTAGGTATGTCATATACTTCTTACTGGACTCCACCGCCGGGCTCTTGTTCATCTACCTACAAGTGAGAATCGCCCAGAGGATCTTTATAAGGTGTGCATGCAAGGCACTGATGTTTGGAGAGTACGGGGACCCTCCCAAATGGGATGCTTGGATCGGACAGTGTGGTGTCTTCATCATCATCGTCATCATAGAAAAGATTGGCATCACTCTACTTACGTTTATTCCATTCTGGACAAAGGTGAGGCATTGTGACATCATCTCTTCTGTCAAGTTTACTGTAAAACTATGTTATTGAATACTTTTAAAGTCACATTATATATCCCTATATCTTTGACAAGAAAAACCTTATGCTAATGTTGCCCTAGCTATAGTTGTAAGCTGTTATACAATCTGCCATACTTTCATTTAAAATTGTATTCCATAGAAGAAAAAAAAGTACAATCCATACCTGTTTTGTTGTCAGGTTTTTTTTTTAAAAGGGATCTTTATTTAAACATACAGTAAAGCATTGACATTTTGGCAGAGAGAGGAAACATATTTATACAGTGTCAAATTGAATACAGTAGTTAAGAAGCCATTGATCCTAAACTGCATGTATTAGACCAATCCCAAACCATACGAGACCTTGTATTAAAACCTTATCCAAATCTGTCTTAGGTCCAACTCCCAATTTCCAATCACTATACTCCAAATAGCATTTATTCTTTGATCTCTTTCGTCTTAGAAATGAAGGTGTTATATGTTTGGTTTTTACAGGTCGCTGAAATCTTACTGAGTCCTATACATAATCCTAAAGTAGAGTTGACATTGGTGATGCTCATCATACCATTCATTGTGAACGTAAGTAAACTTCATGTTACCCACAATGCAGTATTGGAATAACGTAATGTCTACCAATCACCTAGAATAAACAAAATCAACCTTATTAACTTTATCCGGCCTATGCTGGGCTAGGGATTAAGGAGTTCGAAGGAAATAAAGAATAGCATAAAACGGCTCACATGGAATCCAAGTCGACTTGGGTTCTGTGCGGGCCGTATTTTATGCGAGCACATATAGGTGCCTCAAGCAGTCTTCTCACAAGTTGTGTTTATGTTTAATACTTGAGTGTGTATTTAAACTTCAAAAGTCTCTTTACAGAAGTAATGTTTGAAGCTCATATATTTAATATCATATTACGTCATGGAACTACTAACATACCTAAGAAAGATTTTCTTTGGATTGGTACACTTTAAGTCAAGGACTCAACTCAAGTCCGGCTAATGCTGGCATTTTCAGCTGACTCAACTTTATTGGAGTCTGACCTAGATGAGATCTAACTCAAGTCACATCTAGGAGAGACTCCTCCCAACTCAAGACACGACTTGACTCATGACTCAAGCTTAGCTTTCAAACTTAAGTTGAACCTCTGTCAGTTGGAAAAAGCTGACTTCAGTAAAGTCACTAGCTCAAGTCAAGACTCCATCCTTCTCGATTAATTTAATTAGGTACGCATTATCTTTAGGGGACTCAATTACAACATTGCAAACAAAAATGAGGGGACCACACATGAATTGATAAGTGACAATGTATTTTTTAATGTTTACTTTAAAATCTGCATTATCATTATCATATAGCAGACTGTTCCAACATTTGTACAGATTCACATTTAACTGTTTTACACTTATTTTTATATGTGTTGGTGAATCTTAAATACTTATTAGGAGTCATGTGATAGCAGTCTGTGTCAAACAGTTACATTGAAGATCATCATGGTAAACATTTGTTTTCTTCACAGACAATTATGTTCTGGGTGATTGATAACCTCTTGATGGGAAAGAGGTCAAAGTTGAAAGGTCACGACAAGGAGAGTCGGGGCTTGAACGGGAAAGACCGGAAGCAGAGAGTGCATTACTACCGCAGCGTGCCAGGAAAGTCGTCGGACGGATCAGAGTCAGAGGTTCTGGTCTCATGTGATGATGACGACACCAAGGCATCGAACGGGTCGCTATTGGTCAGAGAGCCAGAAGAGGAGAGGTTGAGTGGGAAGAGAATAAAAGAAAATTATTTATAGGGGATTTGGGTAATTTATTTTGTTGTATTGAAATGTTTTATTCTGCAAAGTGCTATAGAAAATACTCATAAAGCCTGTCTTTTGAAAAGGCTGCAGCATAATGAAACAACCTAAGTAGAGTACGCCAAACATATCTGTATCCTGTGTTATACAGGTAAGAGAGTATGTTTAACATATGCGGTGATTTACTACGCTTCACATTTCTGCATCTTGTAACACACAGATAAGTGAGTACCGGTATGCGTAGGACCTTTGTTGCGCCAAGCTACTTTTTCCATTTCTAATTGCCATTTATCTACATGTAGAGGTGTCGTGATCATGTGGATACGTCACCAGACTGTGGATCACATGGTTGGTGGTTGGAGTCCCACCGTGGTACTAATCATCCTTTGGCAAGACTTTAATCTACATTTGTCACTCTTCACCCAGGTTTAGTATAGGAACCTGGTAGGAATCCATTCCTTGAATGCTTTTGGTGCCGAAGGGGAAATGGGCTCAAGCCAAGATAATAATACTCCTTTGTAGGCGACTAGGTGTAGTTGTGCTATAAAACCCTGAATTTTTATGGCACTACAAGGCATTAAACTTGGACTGTAATATTTCAAGCATAAAAATGATAAGAAATGTATTTATACAATTCATGAATTTAATATGGCAGCCATATGAAAAAGCAATGAAGGATATCCATGATAATTCCAAAGATCTTTGAAGTGTATATAATATAAAGATGTTACTTAATAATGTGGCATACAAGAATGGAATATTATTATTATTATTATTCAAAATCAAGTTTGTAAGCTTTGTTTCCCCTTCCCCATAATAATTCTAGATCGATTACAAAAATGCCTTACCGTATCTATATTTCTATATACAGCTGTATACCATGAATTTTCTTAATCAAGATAAGGTTTGAATTTAAATTGAGTTGAGGGACTGTGATTTTACAAATTTATTCATTTTATCTTGACCTTTATGAAAATAAGTATTTTCAGCAATACTGCTCCATGCAAACAGTAATATTAATGACTTCCTTTCCCAGGCACTAAGTAATTATGTACATGTACTTGAAATATTTTTGCAGGTGTGGCAATTGTTCCCCTTTTATTAATAGTTTTAATATAGTACTCATATGAACCTTGTTCATATATAAATTTGGCTCTCAGTTACGAGTGGTAATTAACCCCACTTGTTTGCTTGCCAAATATGGATGTTATTGTTTGGAATTAGGTGCAGCAGTATGCATCTCCAAGCACAAATATAACTCAGAAGAAAGGCACTTTGCCAACTTGTGATAAGCAGTATACTATATTTTATGCTCTCTTTCTTCTTTTTATATCTATCTCATCTCTCTCTCTCTCTCTCTCTCTCTCTCTCTCTTGCTTTCTCTCACTCTAGGCTCTGTCTAAAGAATCATTTTAGTCTCCTATCTTTCATACACTATGTCTTCTTCTTTTTCGGGTTCTCTTACCATTGCAATTATCTCAATCATGTTTCTAGAATGATATAAACTGAATGCTTTCTAATCTATATTTGAGATATATGAATATATTTGTGTGACACGTGTACTGTGTGAAAGAAGTACAGCTTGGTAGATTGAAACAATTATATACCAGTACAGACACTTTCATCCATATGAAAGAAAGTGGATAACAGTCCATGTGCCAACCAGAGTAAGATACTGCCTCAAAGTTTGAAAGCTGTATTTATTATATCATTATTATATAATAGATGTATTGGATATTTATATAGCGCACATATCCACCATGCAAGGTGCTCTAGGCGCTCCAATATTACCCCGGCTCTGCTAGGCGACCTGTTGCGGCGCTCACAGCATTCAAGGAATTCCTTTCTGCCGATACCCATTTAACACCTGGGTGGAGAGTGGCAAATGTAGGTTAATGTCTTGCCAAAGGATGATTAGTCTTCTGTTTGGAGCCAGAAGAGCGTTAGTCATGTGCTTTGAGAAAGTATTAACACCAATCTGGCTCTGAACAGACTAAATATAACATTGTCTGTTGAGCCATACTCTTAATGATATATTCATAAAATATTTCTAACAAAAGCAAAAATAAAAGCGAACACCAAGGAAAGTATTTTTCTTTTTAAAAAGAGCATACATAGGTTTAATGCCCCCCCCCCCCCCTGCCCCTCCTCTCCCTCTCCTCAAGTAAATTTATGAAAAATAGAAGGGCATATAATTTCAACACACTGACCTATAAACTTTTGGATATAAATTTCTTAATCGATTTTTCAAGCAGTTTTACCTTTTGTACTGTCTGAGTCACTTTAAAAATGTTCAGATGGTTTCTAAATTGTGCATTGCTGTGTGCTATGTTCTGTTGAAAATGCATACTGTTGTAACTTATAATGATAAACATCAACAGGAAATGACTTTATATTACAGATCTTTCTTAAAGAATACAAATTATTAAATGATTATCTTTTTCTTTCAGTGAGTGAATGCATACACTGCATGAAATTTGTAGAAGCTGAAGGTTTAAACCACTTTAATTTTTACTTTTAAAAAGTTGAAAAGTATCTTTACAGAAAATGAAGAGAGGATAGATTATTTAGTTGCAGTACTAGCAATACATTGCCATGATGCTCTTTCCAATGTTATGTGCAATGGTGCACTATGAGTTTTTCATGTATCAGCCTATATCACATTCTATCAATTCATGCCTTCATGTCTGTAGTTTATGTATGTATTTTTTGCCATTTAACTCATTTTTATCTTTCAATGTACATGTTTAATAGCATATATTTATTTAATGTAAGAAACCTATTGTAACCTTGATATTTTGTACAATGCCTTTCATAGTATTTTGTATGTTCCGTGGAATATATAGTTTAAGTGATTTGATAAAGGATAACTCCATGCCCCTAAAATAAGTTGTGTTTAATGGAAGCAGAAGTCAGAGTGGATCAAAAGTTTGATAAATAGTTTGAGGAAAACCATGAAACTTAAATATAAGAAAGTCTTTTGTAATTACTAAATGATCATGAAAATCACCACAAAGAGGAGAAAATTTGACCATGGATTTTAGATATAATTCCTTGATTGTTCGTCAAGTTGTTTGTATACTTTGATATTTCAAATTTTACATATTGTACTCTAAAAAACAATGTTTTCATGCCTTTGCTCTTTTCATGTTGATGAAAGAAGTTACTTATTATAATGTTATCTAAACATGTAAAAGCACGTTACCATTGAAATTGGGTAACGGCTCGAGGAAATCATTTTCTTGGAAATAAAGAGGAAATTTATCAGATCTAAAAAAGATCACAACTGTAGACTGTGAGGGAATGCCATCACAAACTTAAGACAGTGATGGAACTTTGTCTCTATTTGTGCTTCAAAATCAAAAACTTTCTCAACTATCTTTTTAGTTGACTGATTTTTCTACTTTTATTGAAGGTAAGTTATTTTTGGTGCCAGAGGTACTCTTTAATGTTACATCTCGAATGTTAATTCTATTCTTTGTATGCCCTCTTTTATATTTTCGCCTTATGCTATGTTGTTTATAAAGACCATGTCCAAATCCATGAATTATGCAGAATTAATTTACTGTTTCTGAGATAGTATGATACTGTTAGGTTCAACAAGTTGCGATGAAAAAGACCCGTCAAAAATTGACTAAATATCTGAATCTTACTTATATTTGAGGAATGCCATAAATAAGTTTATCCTTTGGACTATGATTCAAAATTGAATCTTAAGTGTTACAGAATGTAAGGTAAGAAAGATATATTAACAAATATTTTTGTTTTGTTTTTAATGATACATATCAAAAATCGGATTGGAGCTATAAAATTGACTTCATGGACCTTTCTTTGGCAAACAGATTCCACCTGCTCCCCCACCTCCCCCTACCCCCAAAATAGCTGGTAATTCTTTTCAAATATAATAATTGAGTTTCAAATACATGTAAAATCATTTTACTCAAAAGTTAAAAATGGATTTATTTACCAAATGTTATGAAATTTTACTTGTTTTAAATTTAAATGTTGACAAGTTATTACGAATAGTATTTTACTAAGTTATGTACATTCTAGCAACTCATTTTAGCTCTTGCCTATTAAATGAACGTAAAATTTGTAGTAATTAACTACTTACATGTATAATTACATTTATATACATGTACTTGTAAAGGTCATTGATTTTCTTTTTAATAATCCGATGATTGTTTATTTGGGAAGATATTTAAAGGTAATGGAGTTGAATGATGCACCTCAATAAATATGAGATATTATCAAGAGATATTGGTGTTCAATAACCAAAGATTATATTTTGCAGAGTAATTTTATGATACTTAACAATGTAGATGTAGTAGATGTCGATTATGGCAATATGAATAATAGACATTATTCCAATAATGTGACTTGCTTAAACAGGTTGATTATCTATTTTGTCAAGACTTTTTTTTCTTCCTGTGGTACATTAACCATTTGTGATGATGTATTGTGCATATTACTTATATTTTGTTACTATCCAACCATGATATTCAAATTAAATACTAATAAAATCATTTGTTACACATGTACTGTCTGTCATCTGATTTTGCCTTCATAGGTATACATTTCAGATTTACATGTAGCTACTAGAAACGAATTGTATTGCAAATCACAACACTAACTAGTGAAAATGATAGTACGGTAATCATGAAATATTATCATTGCTACTTACTTACCATACAGCTGTAATCAGTTTGCTAATATACTCAGAGATAGTGAATATTACTGTCATATCACCAAACACTTTTTTTTCATGTACAAAAATAACTTTCAATGGATCTCTATAGTCACTTTCTTCTGCTTCTCTCTCCTGTACGCATCAATGAATATCGATTAGTGTTGTTAATTTTAGCGCCTCACGTAATATTTTTAATTTGTTGGATCATTGTGATAGCCAACTCAGAGAAATTATGCCCATTCTTACTCCCCCTTTCTCTATTAAAGGGAACCAAAACTTTCATACCAAGTTACTTTTATATTAAAGTTTAAACAATTTGAATAAATTCAGTGAAAATGGAATAACGGTAAGGAAATTCAAACTTTTTGAAATATCATGTCACCAGAGGGCAATATTTGATTTGATGACATATGGATAACTCTCCATACCTTCTGACCATGAAATTTCACAATCCTTTCATTTTCTTTGGATTCATTTGTGTTCATGGTCCGACCTCATTAACTGTCAAGTAGAATATCATTCTGCACACTATATCTTGTTTTCATGAGATTAGATTATCTCAATCACAAGAAAGGCTTAGAAATTTGAAGTCCAAAAGGCACGGACAATTGTCCATAAATGATTTCAACAAATAGAATATCACCCTCTAGTGACAAGTTATTTCCGTATTGCTCATATTTTTCAAATTTCCACTGATTTTATTCACATTTCAAACTTACAATAAAAGTAACTTAGTATGAAGGTTTTGGTTTCCTTAAAATGATACTTGTATGAAATGATTTTTTATTGGGAAATGTAATGCAATCTGTTGATTGACAGTAATATTATTGGTTTAATATTCTATATGTATAAAGTATGTTTAAGATCAATAAAAACTTATTTTTGCAAATGTTAAACATTGTGTTCATTTGAATTTTATACTTATTTTATACATATGATATCAAGCACAAATATATATAAGAGTCAAATGCTTTACTTTTAATCATTTTAATGTGATCATTAAAGGGAGGCTTTACTACTTCAGCCAGAAGGGATTAGACCACACAGCGAGCCAGCGAGGTCACTGTGACAGGTGGCTATCTCATTTACTCAGCTCTCATTTAACATAAGAAAAAGAGGATCATGGGGGACCAACAGGCACCGATTGGGGAAGATTTCTATATAGAGGGAGCAAGTAGCTACAAGTAGGACAGTGTGCCTTTAAGCCTGGTCACAATAACAATCATGATAGTTTAACTTATAAAAATTGGTCAAAGTATAAATGATATTTGATAAGTAAATCAGTGCTCAATAATCATTAGCATATCAGTGAGCAACGGATGTCCAATACCTTTTACACCTAGACAGATTTGAGAGCTTGTATCGGTCTCATAATCAATGATACATGAATGTGACCAGCCTGTGACGAGCCTTTTACAAACTATACTCATTTTGTTTATCCATGAAGTTATCCAATTTCCACGTTGACTTGGCCATCATCGTGTGATATGTAGGATGAATAGAATATAATGTACCAGAAATATTACAATAAATATTTTTTTTATTTTTGCTTAAGACTGTATAGTTGCCCTAATGCATGCACTTGAAAACTACTTGCTTCTTATTAACCAGTGTTCGGCGCTTTGAGGACCCCCCCCCCCCCACAAACAAAAAACAAAACATAATGAATTAAAAAAAAGTATTAATAACATTAAAGGTAATACAAAGTTTTGGTATGGGGTCATGAAATTGGTTCAAATGAACATATTGGAAGCATATGTAATCTTACAATATTCATTGATTGTTATCGCAGTTGAAATTGAGTCTTAAGTTATGCAATTGTAAATAATAAACTCTTTATGTTGTATAGCTCCCTCTCAAGGTCAAGATATTAATTTAGCTGTGAAACAACGTTTCTTGACTAAGATTGACCGGTTAGCTATTCCCGTTTGGAAATTGTATATCCCAACTACATATTCTGTGATTTTCATGGTCGCAGTTACCATTGTATAGCCGTAGGCGCTATTTGAAATTTATCAAAATTTACCGGGAGCACCGGTAAATTGTTATATTCTAATAGGGTCTAAATTTTCTAGTGCTTATAATACATCCATAGGGGATGCTTATAATACATCCAAATATATCAAAATTGTAAAGAATTACTATCCACCCAATTTTCAATATTTCCCAAAACTTTGTATTACCTTTAAGAAAATAGGGGGTGCAGCCCTGTATAACCCAAGATAACTTGAGCAGCAATACATGGAAACAAACTAATATAACAAACCCCAAGCACTTAAATTCATCCAAGTAGAACTTACAATGTAATTATTAGAGTAGAAACACTAGAAGACAGAAATACACAGAATGGCATTTTATTCATGATTTTGTTTATTCATGAAAAATGTTTCTTTCCTTTCCAATAATATGAATGTACCTTGTACAAGATTTTATTGCAAATAATATTCTATATCATTTACATGTATATAAACATGAATACACATTTTTTGCGGGATTGTGATGTAGGGCCTAAGTTTAGAAAATTTTCACTTTCACACAAATTACAGGATGATTTTAACATGGATTCATGTGCCATACCATAACCATACATGAAGTAAAAAGGTGAATTCGGTAACAGTCTAGTTTAGTGAAAATAACCAATACTACACATAGAGCATTAGGATCATCATCCCCATCACCTCGCCAATCTCCGTTTTAACAGCTTGTACCATGCTACACCCCAAATTGACCCACGTAAAAATCCATTGAAATGGCCCAGAATGCATAGGGGCAATTCAGTGGTTAGTTACATTACATTTTTGTGAGAAAAGATGATCAACTTTAAAGAGAAGGTTCAGGGAAGAGGTGAAAAATAATTTGTGAGCGTTATCATTGTAATATGCAAGTGTGGAAGAACATCAGATTTAAAAAAAAATGTTCCCTGAAAAGCATGGCTCTTCAAATGCCTTAATATGATAAATATGGCATGTAACATCATAAAAATCAGGACAAATTTTCATGCCACATGTTCTTTTAGTCCCATATACATCTTTCTGTGTACAGTGCTTGTAACTTTACAAAGACTGGACCAAACTTATCATTTTGATGATTCCACTTTGCAGTCGCATTACCAGAACTCAACTTTATCTTTAATGGTACAAAATGATTCTACTGTTCTATCTAGGCATATATAATCCCAATTTCAACCATCTTGGGCATACGAAAGATAGAAGAAATACTGATTTAAATTTTTGTTGTTATGTCTCATAATTTGTGGAATTTCCCTTAGGCAACATTCTTTTTGCCTTCCCCATTGTCTCTGCACTCATACACCAGAAGGTTTCAATTCAACAACAGGGCCATTTGGGAGATGGTTAACCCCTCTCTTTGGTGAAGAAGTCCTAACATTCAGCATCAGGCTATTAGGGGAACGAGTCCCCCAAAACTAACACTGGGCCATTAAGAGTCAATAAATATCACCAAGCAAATTAGCTCCAGGGAAGGATCATCGTTTTACTTGTTCTGGTGGTAAAAGCCCTGCTGCTACCACTCTGCTCTCTCTGGCTAGATAGTTGAATGTTGCACAGGCATGAGACTATAAAGAGGAACAAACAGAATAGTGGCAAGTTAGACATTTTGAAACCAACATTTGCAGAATACCCCCCCCCCCCTCCTTTCCCCATCACAAGTAACCCTAACCTTGTATCAATGTGTAATGTTTGAGTTTATTGGTTTCGCATTTCACATGCAGATACAGATACAGATAAATATACATAAAAGACATATTGTTTCATAATTTAAAAAAAAATTATTACAGTAATTGACAAATTAACCAGACTACAAAGTTACATATCAAATATGTTTGTCCACCTAGAGATCATGATGCAAACCAGTTTGTAGTCGAGTCCCTAAAGCTAAAGTCCAGAGTGGAGTTAAATCAACATGGAAACAAGTCATCAGTCTCCCCTGACTGTGACTGACACCAAATCAAGTTAAGCTTTAAGAACAGGCTGGAGTTCAACCCTGAGCTGACTTACTGATTAAAGCCCCACTGTCCTACTTGTAGCTACTTGCTCCCTCTATATAGAAAAAAATGCCTAATCAGTGACCGTTGGTCCCCCACGATCCTCTTTTTCTCATGTTAATTGAGAGCCGAGTTGATGAGATAGCCACCTGTCAGTGACCACGCTGTGTGGTCTAATCCCTCATGGCCAAACTAGTACAGATGGCCTTTAAAGCAAGTATGATAATAGAGCCACTACAGCTAAGAGGCTGTTCACACCGGCAGAGATAGCGCGGTCTAGCGCGCGCTCTATCGCGCGCTAGGCCGCGCTATCTCTCGTGGACCACCCCCAAGAGGTGCTCCAGTACTGGCACGCCGTTTTGGCTCGCCGTGGCTCGCTGTTGGGCGGACCGAAACGACGTTGTACCTTCCACACCGCAGAGATAGCCCGCGCTAGACCGCGCTATCTCTGCCGGTGTGAACAGCCTCTAAGTTTGAGTTCATGGTCACATCGAAACAGCAGAGGTCAAGACCCAAGTCTAGTCAAAAGTGAGTCAACTTGAGTACAGGATTGGGTATTTTATTTTTATACTTGTATGTTTCCGAATAATAGTTTTCATACAAAATATAATTCTAATTATCACTTGGCTTTGCAGAACAGTATAGAAGTTGGTTGCAAAAATATAAATGAATGTAGTGAATAAAACTTGGTCTGATCTTACCGTTTCTTGAACCTCTAATGCTATTCCTTTCAGTCTCATGAACCTGTGTAGCTCTGGACTTAACTTTTGAAGTGTTGCTCCAGTTCCTATCACCAAGATTTCTGAGATCAAGAGAAGATGCAACTGCTTTGAGTTTCTTTTTAGATAAGAATTTTTGACTATGAATATAAATATTGATGTCTTATAATGAAAAGTTCATTGGTGGAAGATACATCAAATAATGATTTTGAATTGTCCATCAGTTCCTTTTTTTTCAAGTGACAGAAAATCATTGAAAGTGATGTGAAACAAGTTTGTATTGTAATGATTTACAATATTCAATATGTAGACTAATATTTGCAGATTTCTTTGTTGAGTATTTTTTTTTTTGGGGGGGGGGGTGTACATGTATTTTGTTACCTTCAAAATTTTCAGAATCAATATTCAGACAACATGACAGGCATAACAAATGGAAAATACAATAAGAGGATTTATCATTCATTAACAAAAATAAACACAGAAAGTGTAAATTTCTAATGATTAAAAGTACAGGTACACGAATATCAAATTTGTTGCCTGAGATTCAATACCTTGCCCCTGTGAAATCATATGAAATACAAACTGTACTCACCTATTTTGGGTTCTATCAGATGAAACAATGATAGACTGTCTTCATTAATATCGTGCAATCCAGCAATCTAAAGGTAAACAACAGGGGGAGGGGAGTTTTAATATTCCATTCTCTTACAAAGTCCTTCAATACCTTGTTTAAAATGAATGTGTGTATCTAATTGAGTACTCTAAAATTGATGGATTATATCATGAATAATATAATTTTAATTGATGACTGAAAGATTACAATTCATACAAGAATTATGATGATGGTTATGAATCTCACTTGAGTTATTTTGCATAAAATGATGCCTTTGAAATATTTTAACATTTAATAGTTTTCATATTTTGTCCTTTCATAGAAATACAGTCTATATTTAAACTAATACAGAGCATACCAATAATACCCATTACCACTGGATTACCACTGACATTTTACAATGCATTTAACAAGTTTCAATTAGCAGCAGCATGAATTCTCTATCAACCTAAGCAACAAAATAGACATACCAGTACAGAATATTAAGCCCTATAGTTCCATTGGCTAGTTTTTCCCCCATGCAATTATTTGTTAATTAAAATATTGTTTTCATTCACTACAATCAAAATAAAAAGGACAAAATATTTACTTCAAATAAAATCAGGCCTTTGCCATTCAAAATGTTATCAAGCTTCCCCCATAATTTCCCTAGAAATTGATCATTCTAAATCCAATCAATTTTCACTTTTTTACTTACATTCCATGATAGCAAACTCCTGGGCAAGATGGCCACCGGCCCATAGACCTTGTCTCCACTGATGGTAAAACCTTGGATGCTGTAGTTTGAAATGAAGGGAACATCTGAGGTCTCCTTTGAGAGGAGGCTGATTGTTGTTTTTGTGTAGAATTCATCATCGGTCGGTTGGAGCTTGCCAAGGCATAGTGAGGTTGTGTTCAATAACCTGCAGATTATATAGATGTTTGGGAGAACAAAATCATATACACGGAATAAATTGAAGAGTGATCTTAACTTTCTGTAACACTTAGCCTTCATCAGTTTTGTCACTTGTCACTTGCCTTTGTATCAAAGTTATTCCTCCTTGAAATTTCTTGATTATTTAATTAAAAGGTTCCTAAAATATTATCACAATTTTAGTACCAGTATACATTATTTAATTGTGACCCTCAAATTATCGGCCCATCTCGCTGACATTTACATGACGTAAACTTCTTGAACACATCATTGATAGCAACCTAATTATGCACCTCTCCAAGTGGAACATTATTTCAGACAACCAACACGCATTCCGTAAAGCTAGGTCATGAGAAACGCAGCTGATCTCGATGCTCCATGACCTGGTAAAAAATATCTATGATAAACTAACAACTGACGCCTTTATACTTGACTAACAACTTGACCATGAAAAAATGGTCACCTGGGTAAAAACATGAGGCACAAAGTTAAATCCTTCCAATTGTACCACCATGCGCATCTCCAGAAACAGGCATTCCATCCATACTTCATACAACTTGATAGGAGTTGCTCTTGCCCAAATCACGAACACCAAGTACCTCGGCGTCGTCATCCAAAACAACTTAAGATGGAATGCCAATGTAACTACATCAGAGGTATAGCTTCGGGAGAACTCCAAAGGAATTTCAACCCCACCTCCGTGAAAACAAAGAAAAACTTTCCAAAAGTGCCGATTTTGAGTGAATTTTTGTGAGTTTGTAGAGTAAAGGAGCCCGTTTTCGGCCACTTAAGACAAAATCCTATTTTTAGGACTCTTTACTTCCTATTTATTATCATTTCTTGTTCAAATCATGAAGCAAATATTATTATTATTTAAACAAAAAAAGAATCCCAGAAAAAAATCACGAATTGCCATGACAATATTCATTTCAATTTTCACTGTTTTGGAGCCCGTTATCGGCCGAGCGTTTCAGTTTACGGCCGCATGTACAAAGTCAATAGGAAGCGCTCGCGCGCGCCGTGCGTTTCCGCGCTGATGTACAGCACAAGCGGGCGGAGCAGGTATCCCACGCCGGAGCTCCATGGTGCTCGCCTGGCCGAAGACAGGCACAGCGGTGATCGGAAGTTGGAATCTGAATTAGACAGAGATATCGTGTGTGCGTCGCGGTGTGCGGCTGCATTGATTTAATACATGCGATGACATACTTTTGAGCTTGCGACTAGCACAAAATCGGGCTTTAAATCTGAAAAATACTTGAAATAAAGCTCATTTTATGGTACCCATATTTCTTACAGACACGCGTAAGATACTCGATTTTTCAGATTTGGGTAGCGGGACCGGCGATTACATCGCTAAAATGTGATATTTTAGGATATATTTTCCATTGCAAATGTGGTTCTTCAGTGACACTGGCATGGTATGGTATGTGTGGGATATGTGTTATGCTATTATGCGATGTATTTTAGAGTGATTTTACCTTGTAGGGATGTTACAAAAAAATTAAATATTAAAAACAGTGCTTGTAATCTATCTCATCATATAGAGCTTGTCAATACCTTTCATTTGATACCTAATACACTTTCATATCATATGTATTAAGAAAGTTATGGACATTTTAAGGTTCGGAAATGGACCTTTTGTTCTCTATTGTTTCAACATGAGCTAAAGACAAAAGCTGTGATCGAGAATAACCACTTGAACGACTTAAAATGTCATAACTTTCTTAAAAATTGAGATATCTTAATGAAATTTTCTACAATTATAGATTTACCCATTTCGAACAAAATGGGATACATCTCTTACAAAATGACATAGTATTAAAATGGTTAATTAACTAATTAGGTCAAATTAGTTAATTACGTGAATGGCCACTGTGACAGAAACCGTTGTGAATACAAAATGTGGTATTCTTCGGATAAGAAAAAGTAACAATAGAGTCCCAGATATGAAGTAATAAACAATTTGGATAAGAAAAAGTAACACTAGAGTCCCAGATATGTAGTAATAAACAATGTGTTGCCTTGTTGGTAATTACAGTCGTTGTTTGATAAGACTCCAGACAGACAGACTCCAGACAGACTCCAGAAAATTGAGATATCTCGAAGAAATTTTCTACAACGAGTAACCCATTTTGAACTTAATTGAATTAACCTTTTATTAATCAACAGAATGTGGCATTTACTTACAGCTGCTTAGCAAAACACCAAATCCCCATACAGGACATCAGCAGCCATCTGAAACATTGAGATGTCATAGTCAGTAGCATCGTCGTACATCTCAGATTGTGACCAATATGCTACTCTGTATGTTTGATTTTTAAGTTTTTCACACTTAGCATTGTAGACAGCATGTACTTGGTTTTCATACCATGCATGGCATGCTTTTCTACCTACTATCCTGCCACCCAGGATATCCTCTACGATGGCACACTTTGCTTCTGAGTATTCCAAGTTAGGAAAAGCAATGCGAACACTTTCCAGGTCAGTCTCTTTCAATTTTTTTTCAAGTTTTTTCCTTTCCCTCGTTTCGTGTGATTGTTCTTTGTCCTTTTGTCTCCTGATGATTTCTTGTCTCAGCTCTCTTTGTTTCCTTTTCCGCTTATTCCTCTGCATCCTGCCCCACTTTACTGCTTTTTGGAGCACATCTTCTTTTCTTGCCTCCTCTAACTCGTCGAGATATTTTACTGTTCTATTCTTGCAGGCCCTCATCCTGCACGACAGATAGCACATTGTCGCATTGGGGCATTTCTGCTTCATGGCACTGAACATCCCCATGATCTCTTCAGAGTCGATGTTATGGGACCTCGCAGAAGCCACCTCCTCACGTAACTTCTCGGTTATGTCCACCTGGAAATACTTTGAATATTGCCTTTCCAAGACAACAATGATGGCTTGCAGGCACTTGCTCATCATAGAACTGAACTCGTCATCTGCTGGACGCTCTCGTAATGCCTGTAGAGTTGGGTCCACATGAAGTTCTTCATTGAAGAAATCCTCAGAGGCTGTCAACATGTCTCTTGGATGCTCTGCCGCTTCCTTCAAGGTGCCAATCACACCTTTGACGACCTGAATTCCATCCACATGGTTGATTTCATTTTGGCTTGAAGTGTAAAACTTCTTCATCCATGGGCCTGTCAAGTGCTTCCCAAGAAGGCCCAACACCTGGAGTTCTAATTGGGCTTGATCCATGGTAAAGTCATGGAGAATGGCATTTCTTAGGCCACCACATGATGTGCCACTACGTAGGAGAGCAACAAAGTCATCGTAGTACTCCAGTAACTTTCCACCGATGTGGAAGATGATGTGAAGCCTGTTACCACGGTAGCGAGGAAGGACACCACGAGGAATGTGCCTGTCATCTAAAAAGGCAACAAAGCCTCTGGGGTCCCCTTTGGCATTTTTGTAGCGTAGCTTGTTCATTTGGAGGATGACGTTTGCTGCCAGACAGTCCTTGCCAAAGACCTTGCCTTGTGACGTCTCCTCATGCTGTTTTAAGGCCGAGCGAACAGAAGAGGAAATGGAGTCAAGAGGGTGAAGGTGGCAATTGAGCTCGTTTAATGTCTTGCCCCATTCTCTGTTCACCACTCTAATTGCTGCGTGGTTGGCAGCACACCTGTCCGACATCGTATTCGTAATGTTATTAATCAATTGTTCTCTAGTCTCTTGTACGTTTGCGTTGTCATTGAAATAGCAATATGTATCGCTTAGATTATCCACAGTGTCGCAGATATGCTGTGCATAATCGTCTGCTGTGCCGCCAGCCAACTCATCCACAGCTGCAGATATGCATGTCGACGGTGTGGTGAAATGGATGCTGTTTATATGCATCTCTTCCTGTGTGGTGGCGTCGAAACCAACAGTGGCATCCTTCGTGGCAAGTAAAGCTTCCGCAGCTTGCAGCTCTGCAATTGCCCCAAGCTCTCTCGCCATTAGTTCAACGGTGCTCCTTTGTGGAACTTGGTCGAGCTCTCGTCCACTTCTTAGGTAGATCTGGTTTATTAGAACTGGAATGCTGGCAGTTGGTGTGTTGCTGACAATGCAGTCAAACACAGTCATTCTTGTTGTTGAAGAGTAAGTCTTTTTGTCAATTTTAGCCCTGACAGTGCTACCAGCAGCCTCGAGATTTTCCAGCGATTCCTGCAGGAGAAGGTTATTAAATTCGTGTTGTCTTACGTCTTCCTCTCTGTCCTTCAGTTTCTTCTGCAGTTTCCTGTATTTGCGGATTGGAACAGTCTCCTTTTTCTTTTCATAACGGATCTGGAGCAATTTTCTGTGTTTTTTTTTTAGTTTCAAGAGTTCAGCTTTGGTTTCAGCAAGCTTTTGAGCCAGTTCAGTACCCTGTAGTTTCGATTTCAGTATCGTGATTTTTGTATCCTTGCCTTCAATGATCTTTTGCTTTCTTTTCAATGACTGATTGATAACACGTTTTGGAGTTTTTAACTTTGTCTTAAGGTCACTGAATTTCTCTTGGTACTTTCTTGCAAGAATAGCTTTGGATTTAGAAGCAAACTCTAGTCTTTTCTTCAGTCTTTCCTTTCTTGGGGTGAGAAGTTCTTTTCTGCTTCTTGTCGATGCACCAGAAGTTGTTGGAGTAGGCTGTGGAATGGTGTCTTCTGATGTTGGTGTTGCTGCATTTGGATCAGGCAGATCATGACTGCTGGCTGTTGTGTCCAGAGATTTCTCATGGCGAATTGGCTCTTGCAATCCAGATGTCGAGGGCTCAGAATGGGAAGCAGAAGAGGATGAGGGGTCTGTACCAATAGCAGCTGATTGAGCAATGTCATTGGATGCAATTATTTCAGGTTTCTTCTTGAGTTTGAAAGTTTCATCACAGATACTTGAGAACACATCAAATTCCTTTGGATTGTTCAGTTTTTTAAACTTCAGCAAAGTCTTTTTAACAAGGACCTGCACACTTGATATAGCTGAATACGAATAGCCTTCCCCATGATGCAAGGAGAAATGGGAGCTCAGCTGTCTCTCGGTAGTAGTCTGACTTTTATCGTTCAAAAGATACAAGCACAGCACATGTCCATTTTTCAGATCACTCGGGGATGCTGGCAGGTCAGGGAAATTCAACTCGAGATGACTTCTGGCTACGCCAGGCTGGGCAGCGAGATCCAATCCGGTTTTGTGTCGCTTCTTTGGAGGCATCTAAATGTAATGAAATGGAAAATAAATATTATTGCAAAGTTTCTGTCATTACTTAACTGTATTTGTGTGTGTGTGTGCGTGTGTGCGTGCGTGTGGGGTGGGGGTGGGTTGGGAGCTAGGGCAGTGTCATGGGGGAAATTAATCTCAAGTTTGACAGTTACATAAACTATATTGCTTTTAAAAATATTGTGTGAATAATATATTGCTCTAGCGCTCTTTATATTTAAAAAAACATGTGTTTCCTGATTATTTTGTAAGAAAGGAGGACGATAATTCATGATTACAATTTTATTTTTGCATTGATCAATTATAATTGTATTCAATTATTGAAACAGCTCTGAAAACGAGACTATAATATTACTAGTTGTTTAATAAATCCTTATGAACAAAAACAACAACAAACCTAACGCACAAGGAGATCACGCGCTATAATATCCCTTCATAGAGCACGTAGAGCTACGGTGACGAAAAGATATCATAGCGCAATTACGGACAAGTTTGATGCAGCAATAGGCATTTTATACAGTCTTATTTCAAGGCACACCGTTGCACGAAAACGCGCAGCATACCAACACACACAGAATCAAAATACGAAATACACTCAAATTCCCACACGACATATATTCAAGAATCGACAAACATCGTATTTCACGATAGTTAAATTCATAAATCAACGAGAAATATTACAATCATAATAGTTAAGAAGATAAAATATTGCATATTTGTAAGTTTATGACAAGTATTTATATGCAAAATCTTGAACGAAAAACAACTTTTTGTTTTCATTGCACGTATTTCGTCACGTATATCGTATCTCACTACATGTATTATCACAGGTGGGTCAATGCACGCTCGTATCCGCCCGCACGGACCACAACAATCAAACACAATTGCGATCGACTCGGCAGTGACAGAGCACAATTCCGGGCCCAAAATTTCATATTTCGCATCATAGGAATGACATAAAACTTTATCAAATACAAGATTATAATATAAATTAAACATTAGACTTACTTTTTCTGATGTTAGAACTTGCGATGGGTGATTTGGAAAGCGTTGAAAACGAGTGTCACTTTCAGGATGATGGTATCAAACTAATCCAAGAAGTTCAGGAAATTCGACGCACATCATTTTGAAGATTATATTTACCTCTACGTAAAAAATATGACGTAGTAAGAAAATTCCTGCGATAACCAATGACAAATCTGCATTTTAGGGGACATCCCCATAGCCCCTCCTACGCACGCGAACACTCTCACTGACACAATTTAGCCGCCGCTGACCGCGGAGATTGCAACATACCTATACCTTGCATCCAACCAATCGGCCGAAAACTGGAGCTGGCCGATTACGGGCTCCTTTACTCTACAGTACGTACAGTGGTGTTTAAATTGTGAGAATCAAAAAAGGGTGTCTTAAATTATTTTCTTACCCACAAAATATACTAATGCTGTTATGGGTGAATAAACATGACTATTAAACCCTGATTTTGAAGAGCGTCATCGATCATTAAACGAACCCATAAAATCAAAAACACAATATTCAGTATACGGGACTACACACTTTCTCTATGACTCCAGTATTTCACTTAATTGCGCACTTTCAAACCGGTATAGACAGTCATATGTTTAACAGAAATAACAAGTTATTAATTCAATTTACAATTACCTATTGCCAGTTGAAGAACTGGAAAGACACTTTCCATAAAAGAGTGCTTTCTGGGCTAGACTTCTCGTGAGACCACAAGCCATGATCAGCGATTGAGTAATGGAAAGTCCGTTCACATGTGCAGAGGTAGACTCACATGTACACGCTATGCTAATAATATCATAATCCATTTTCTGGAAGTGTTAACACAAGTCCATATGTGTATGGAGCGCTGCATCGTATCATTATTATAATCATAATTAATATAATTATAATTCATCCAATTATCACGATCTGTAATATGCTTAGACAAACAAACCGGGGCCCGACTTAAATGCTGAATAACGAAAATAAATGACTAAATCATAATCATTCATGTAGCCTTGCTGATGAATAATGTGCCTTTCAATACACTGACTAACTATATCTATATGCTCCAAATTGTGATGCTGGGCCGTGATTTATATTTCAACATAATCCCGATTCCTCAAGTACCGGTATAGCAACTGCCGACTTGCCTTTTCTTCCTTATCGCCTGTACTGTAACCAGCTTTTCTAATTAGCCGTTTTATTTCTTTTCTTTTTCCTGAAACCTTCAGAGATGAGAGAGAGGAGGGACAATTAATTTACTTGCAGTGAAGATATGTTCTTTTTCTTTCTCCCATCTCTCTGTCTCGATCTCTCCCTCTCCCACTTTTTTACCACTGGGCCCGTGTTTTTATCACTCTTATCGTCTCCTTTTGTGCATAGTCTCTTCCAGTGGTGGATCCAGGGGGGCGGGGGGCCCGGGCCTCCTCCCATGGGGAAGAAAACGTGTAAAAACACGTTAATTTGACCTCCTTTTTGGCCGGGGTTACCAGTTAGGCAGTCTGTAAGCTCTTCTGTAAGTTCAAACGTAAGCTGAAATTTCATCTACTGTACACCTACAGTGAATAGATCTGGATTAGCATTGTCCCCCCCCCCCCGTGTTGTACATTGTCCTCCTTCCCCTATTTCTTTACTATTCCGTTATCTTTATTCTGTTTTCTTGTTTAGTCTACCATATTCTGTAAATTAGTGGTAGATCTGATATATTTATTTATAGTCAGTATAGGTAACTAGATTAGTATTGTTAGTCCCCCTCCCCTGTATTGTAACCTACTTCTTAAAAAACAAAGTTGTTCCTGTAAAGGTGATATGTGTTTTAACAAGCTCTGCTTTTTAACAGACCACCTCTTTTCCACATTTGTTAAAGTCTTTATAACTGTTTCATTGTTAATGTATTTATGCTAATTGACGATGTACTTGTTGCTACTGTTCCTGAGTGAAATGTTTTTTCATGTAAGTGGAAATAAATAAATAAATCTTGAATCTTGAATCTTTAGATGAACCCCCTACCCTGGCGCTCAAGGGGGGGGGGTGCGATTTTTCAAATGTTCAAGGGCCAAAGCAATTATAAGTGCTCATTGTAATTAATTGATTAATTAATCCATATGTTAGCTTTCTGAGGTTATCATGCACCCCCCCCCCCCTCCCCCATGTACGTGTCTCCGACATAAATAAGCATAGTAACAAGAGATCGTCACGTGAACTAGTAATTGTTTCGTCATAGATTCGAGCGCATGTGCAATGTGAAGAATAAGCGCATTAAAGCGCGTATGTTGAATATCCTTAGCAATTTTTGTTTACATTCCTCACAATATCTATATTGTTCTCGTAGTGTTTATTCACTATACTTTTCTCTGCCTTTTCAGCCAATTTTTGCCTAATTTTGGTCGATTGTGCGTCTCATTTCTCGTTATTGTCAACATCTAAGCAATTTTAAGCTCTAGATCCGTTGCCAGATTGAGAATTTGAGAATTACCAGCGTTATGAGTCCTCAAACTACGGTATGAGTATGACCAGTAACAGTATGACCGTAGACACAAAGTTAACGTGTATCAAGCGATGTCATGTCGGGCAATGCCGTTATATTTTATCCGACAAACCCTGAGTCATTTGTTTCTCGATATGTGATTTTTTTACTACTTTTACTTGACTTCAGAAAGGAAATTCGTTATGCGAGTCGGACTTTTAGTTTTAGACGTAGCCCACTTTAGATTATAAAATATTGGGTATCGGCATAATATTAATAACCGAATTTAACCCATTTTCATCCAGATCATCTTTGCCAATATTCAAACATTTTCAGGGTAAACAAAGTTGGGTTTTCTGAAACGCAGTGTACCATAAGTGATAAAACGTTTTTTTTTTTTTTTTTCAGACACAATTACGATATAGGTGTTTTAATTGGGCCTTAGTCAAGTTCTTGTAACTGTTCCCCATTTAAGTTTAAATGAAGCGAAATAAATATGGACAAAATATAGTTCTCCTTGTTCTCCTTGTTAGTTCCTTTCCACTTTACTTCTATTCCTCCTATTTTAGATTCGTTCTTCTTATATTCTCTTATTTGTTTCTTGATTTTCATTCAACCTTCTTGTACAGTCTTTTCTTTCTTAGATTTCTTCTTCCTTTAACTTCCACCTTTTCTCATCCTATTCACTCTTAGTTTCCTTCCATGGGCTCTACATTTTGTTTGTTTTTTTCACTTTTATTTTTCCCCTCCCTCTCCACTTTTAATTTTTAGAATTGCATTGCATAATCACAAATGAATGAATAACTTCGGATGTTGACGCATTAACTTGATAAATAATTTGTTTGAGCATAATAATAGTTGAAGAGAGGGGTACTAATAAGTGAGATAAGAATATTTAGAGAGGATGGACTCATGAGAAATGAAGAGAAAAAAGATTAAGGCGTTAATCTGTTCACCCTCTTTTTTTCTTGTTTCTTTTTTAAATTTCATTTAAATTCTCTTCCTTTTCTGTTATATTTTACGTTTATTTCTCAAGTTTCTCTAGGCTTCCAGTTTCCCCCCCCCCCCCCTTCTTTCTCTCTTTTTATATTTTGCTTCATTTCGTTCACTCTTATAATCCCTTTTTTCTCTTTATCTCATATAATTCTCCATCTTTTAAGTTCTTATTTTCCTTCTTTTCCTCTCTTTTACTCATGTTTCCTTCTTTTGAAATTCAATTTAATTTCAGTCTTTTATTTTGCATAACGAACGCCTTCGTTTTTCACTTTATCTCTCTTCTTACTTACTTTTATTACTGTTTTTATTATTATTTTAACCAAACTCATGCAGATTTTAATCTAATTCATTCTTTTCATCTTTCCCTTCTTTTTTTCCTATCCACCAGGGTCATCTGAGAGCAGACGTCGAGCTTCAGGGTCATCTTCTTCTCCTCGCTAAGAGCGTGAAAGACGAGATGTCCAATCTCGAGTTTGTCGAGAAGCGGAGACTTCCAAACCGCGAAAAGGTTTACATATACATCCCTCGTCGCTATCGTCATCGGACGGATAGACACTCTCTTCACTTCTACGGCTACTTTGAATACCATCGTGGCAAGCGTCAGCTCATCATCCCGTTGTCGAAGCTCCTCAACCAAATCGCGGTTGAAGAGCTTCATCGACTCAAGTCGGGGTCGAAACCGTCGACACCGTCGGCTACTCCATCGGGGTGTCGACGTCGACTTCCACTCAACGATGTCCTTGGATTGGAAGTGAAACTCAAAGAAGAGTATCTCTTTGAGTTTCCCCAACACAAGGACGTTGTTGAGAGCAGGCCTGCTCTCTCCAACAACGTCTCTCTCGTTCCATCTTCCACCTCGAGTTTGAGGAAGCGTAAGATGGACGATGAGTTTTCTCAACATGAGGACGTTGTTGAGAGCAGACCTGCTCTTTCCATCAATGTCCCTCTCGTTCCATCTTCCACCTCGAGTTCGAGGAAGCGTAAGATGGACGATGATTCGTCATCATCTTCCTCTGCGAAGAAGGTTTGTTATAATAACACATTTTCAGTTCCACCACGTACTGAATAGAGGATGTGTTTCTTTATACAGGCATAATTCTCCTTTCAATATTTTTGATTGTCTTTTCCATATAGGTTCGAAATCGACAACAAAGCTTGAAGAAGAAGAAGAAGAAGAAGAAGAAGAAGAAGAAGAAGAAGAAGAAGAAGAAGAAGAAGAAGAAGAAGAAGAAGAAGAAGAAGAAGAAGCAGAAGAAGAAGAAGAAGAAGAAGAAGAAGAAGAAGAAGAAGGGGAAGAAGAAGAAGAAGAAGAAGAAGAAGGGAAGAAGAAGAAGAAGAAGAAGAAGAAGAAAAAGAAGAAGAAGAAGAAGAAAAAGAAGAAGAAGATGGGATGGGGGAGGAAATGGGGGTCGGGCACTATTATCATCGATTTGCATAATCTAAATTATGAATATCATTGCAATAATTTGAATATTAATTATGAAGAAAAGTGGGCATCAAAATGTGCATACTAATCTTATACATTGTAGATTTCCCCCCTTTTTTTTTTTTTTCTAGTTTAAAATGGTGCATATGGAATGTCATCTCTCATTCTTCATCTCCATCTGTCTTCATATCTGCGTTGAACTGAATTACTGTTTCGGAATAACTGTTTTGGACTAATCCTTTTGGAATATAATATTGTTTTGGACTGACTGTTTTGAACTTATAGCTTTGGAATGATTATTTAGCTTGGTCTAATACTTTTGGAATAAATTTTTAGATCAACTATTTGATTTTTCTTTGTTTAAACGTCTTGGACCACATTTTTATGCTTGTTAAGTAATTTTTGACTATTTTAAAACTAAATATTGTACATTGATTCTAGTGAACTTCAGAATCTGTATATTTTTATAGTCTTTTTTGTAAAAATAAATCAAGAAATATATCCCACAAATGTGTCTGCTGTTTAATTATTTTCAGTTTACCGAGTTTGTTTGATAGTATCATTCTATTGATGTGAATCTATATTGAAAAGTATGAGTTAGAATAATAAGACAAACAAAAAGTGATTGAAGCGAGTGTGGTTACGGGTGTGTTCGCATTTGAGCTAATATATCATTATGTAGTGTGCTAAACAATGTTATGCTAAAATTGAGGGAGAGAAAGGAAAAGTAAGGAAGGGAGAAAAGATGAAGAGATAGAAAGAGAGAGAGAGCGAGATAAGAGAGTGAGTAGGGAATAGATGAAGAGAGCTAGAGAGAAAGGGAGAGGGAGAGAGAGAGCGAGAGAGAGAGAGAGGGGGGGGGGGGGAGAGGGCAGTGTCCACGAGACTGACAAAACAAAGAAAATAAAAACAAAAAATACAACAAAGAAGAAAGTTCCAAAATGTCCCACATCCCACAATACCGACAGCCCACGAAACCAACTATACCCATGAAAAAAATATGAAAAAATAAAGAATTAAAAAGAAGTGGCCAGAGGCCAAAGAAACCGTCTCGTGGGCTGTTGGTATTGTGGGATGTCGGTCTATATTAGTGAACCCTCTGAAAAGGGACTATAAGGCACAAGAGACCGACATTTTCGGTCTACGGGCTGACGGTCTCGTAAAGCGGCTCCAGGGGGGGGGGGGGGCGGGCGGCCCCCACCCCTGTGAAAAAACAGGTACAAACACATTAATGTTACCTTTATTTGGAGACGAGCCCCCTCCTCTGGTGCTCAAGGGGGGGGGGGGTGCGATTTTTAAATTTTCGAGGGACATTTTTTTTAGTGCTCACTTTATAAACGCATTATATGAACTCGTTACTTTTTGTATTACATTCATGTTAGAAGAAAGACAAATAAACTTAAACTTGAACTTGACTGTCAATCAAGAAGTTGCATCCGTTCCGTTTGCTTCACTATCTCTTGAATAGTCCCTCCTCCTCCCCCCCCCCCCCGCCCCCCCCCCCACCTCCCGATGACACAAACACACATACTTCGGAGGCTCAGGGTTATTTTTGATGCATGATATAATACTAATAATGAATTTTCCTATCTTTTAATTTCCTTGCACTGATAAATTAAGTTCATCATAATGACCCTTGGGGCATTCCAAAACTCAGATATTTCTCTGGCTATGATGGGAGAGGGAATACAAGCTTTGGGATCCACCACCCATCCTGGATGTTTGTGCAGTACGTATCATTTCCTAATTAAGTTTTTTTTTTTTGTAATTTTCCAAAATGAACAAAATGTCATGCATCTACAGGACTTCAAATCTCGAACAAAAATTCTTCAGGTTGGGAGGTGATACCTCATTTCGTGTATTTTTTACAATATTATAGACCAACGGTCTTTCTTTCAAAATAAAAATAATTAAAGAGCATTATTTTGCGCAACTCATTAGGAGGTCCAACATGTGATTAATTAGATTGATCAGTATGCAAATCTCAGCCCAAGTATTTTGTTTGTACTTCACTCTGCTTTTCCAGGATAGTTAACATTTTTGATTTACAATTTAACCCCCCCCCCCCCACCCTCTCCCCCGTTTTTTGAATTTGAAAATTCTGCACCTGCCATGCAAATTCAATCAATAGCATATTATGGGGAAAATTATACCCGGAAAGGGGGGGGGGAGGAGGACTCATATACGGGGATGTGCCGCTCTATAATAGGTCGCCTTTTCCCAATAAATTCCTAAACATGGGTCCCATTTTTTTACAAAATATGACTAAACATGGGTCCGGTTTTTACAAAATTGTGAAAAATTGCCTATTTTTTGAGAAAAAATCTGCCAATATTATGATAGCATCAGCAGGGGGAGGGATGAGCACTAAATTATTATTTTTGTAATAACTATTTTTTACTCATCACCCCACCCCCCCCCCCCCCCCCCCCACCCGGAATTAGAACGTATAGGTCTATTTTTTAAATTTTGAATTGACTTTTCAATATTTTTTTTTTTGTGTACAACCAGCTTTCCATACACAATCTTCACGCGGCCGCGGTTCTTGCGAATCCTGCGATCAGCAAGATCAAGAGTTGTTTTTCCCGGTCAAGTCCCCCGTACACAGCTAGCTAGCTAGACTGTCGCGCGCGGTTTTGTCAACTATCTCTGTTGACGTCTTCGGTTGCACTTCATCATACCTTCAAGCTTCATACCTTGGAAAGTTGTAAGTTGGCATAAAGTTATACGAAACTCATTTACCCCTCGGTGTCCACTAGTGGGTTACCGTACTCTTGAATTTCATCAACCATGTCAACTGCAACTGTCAAATGGGATGCACTTTCTTTCTTTCTTTCTTTATTTCAGTGGAAATCGTTAATCTTATTTTTCTACAAAGTACAAGTCGAATTCTAGACTGCTAAGTACAGGTAACTAAATAACCCATATCAGACGGTTTTTTCTGTCTATGCTGATGTAATGATGATCATGATTGATCATTTAATGTCTGGATCAGATGGTGATGATGAGAATGGAAGTTACATTGTTGTAACTTAGACTTCTAGGTCTAACAGTAACAGTTAGATCTAGATCTAATATCTCTTATGTAACATGATGATGATGTTTGACTATAAGTCTAAGGCTAGTGAGTTGGCAAGTCTGACGTCAAGATCTGCACGAGTGATTCATTTTTCTGTGTGGAGTGGAGATGTTAAATTCAATGTGGGAGTTGTCATGAAAGATAGTAATTTGTATTTGTAGGCAGAATAAAACCTTCCCCATAGCATACATCCCAGTAATACTGAATTTTCCGTCTCTTTCGTTTGTTAGCCTCTTATTTGGGTAGGGTCGGTTCTCTCTTTAGAGCTGACCCTACCCCATTAAGAGGCTAACGAACGAAGAGACAGAAAATTCGGTCTAATTAAGGCAGTGCAGCGCTTCCAGAGCAGAGTGAGCTGCAAAAGAGAATAATGTCCACACATAGGAGCATCACTATCCTGGCTGTGTAGTAAAAGCTGTGCTTTTGATTCTCAACATTTCAAACACCACTGTACAAAACTCAACTGATTTCACTCAAAATCAGTACTTTAGTGACAATTGATGACACCTAAATAGCAGTAAAATACATTTTTGTAACTTACTGATGTTAAAAAGAATAATTTAAAAATTAAAATTGTAAGTCTAGTGGCAAACTTTGCTTACAGCTGCATCGACATGATTGTGTAGAGTCTATGCGAAATTGTGTGGTGTGTATATTTGTGTCTAGACTTCTAGGTCTCTGCCTCACAGCATGTAGGCCTATGCTGTGCTAGAGGTCAATACGCATTAGCATTGACTCTCTATGCTTTGCTGGAGTGATAATGCCAAGTTCAAGGTTCTTACATTACACAGAACAGAAGTTTACCATATTCCTTCAATATAAGAGGCTGTTCAATGCTTTCGGTCTATGTACTAATGTAGTATGTTCCACATCCTGACATAGCCTGGAAGAGGCTGTTGCATGCCTAGAGGAGAATATGCTTTATCCTCTCTTCTCTGATGCCTTGGCCCTTGGGTTTTAAACCCACCTCACAGTCACACATAGTATGGATTTCACAACTTAAAAAGCCCTTGAAAAATCCCTTTTTCCAGCACCCATGCTTCTGACGATGCTATCATTGCTTGGTATCTAGGACTGTAATCTCTGCTTCCTAGTTACTCGTCCCCCATCCTTTTTTCTTTTTTTAAAAATATCTATTTCAAGAGAAAACCTTTCGTTGTGATTCTGCTACCATGATATAATAATTATTATTATTACCTGATCTTATATAATTTCACTTATGAATATGAAGATGGGAGAAAATACTTGAACATTATCCTTTTCTTTTTTCATTCCAGAACTCAAATCTTCAAGTATATTTCCAAGATGCCTCGAGGGAATCCAGGACCGAGTAGTCGAAGGCGGGAGGAGGAGGATGAGGAAATGGACTACACCATGTCTCAGAGTACACAACAAACACAGTCACTAACACAAGCAAAGAGGGCAGCAGATAGTTTACCAAAAGAAGTCATCGCTCAAAAGGTGAAAAGACCAAGAATTAGAAGAAAAAAAATTGAGGTTTTTCGTTTACATTATAATTTGTTAAAGTCAAGTACTTGTGGAATGTAACTGGTATGATCCGATGATATTCAGTGTTATGGCAAAATATGAATTTTTAACATGTAACAAATACACTAAACATCCCTGTACTGTAAATCATAAAATTGGCTGAAAGAACTTAAGGTGTTTACTTAAACTTACTTTACTTTGGTGTTGAGGCTTGAAGCTTCAGCTTACATGTATGTGCCCCTCTTTACTGCTTTGGATTTGCATTGGTATGGGTAGTATTTCAGCGGATGGTGCTTCCAATGATTCTAAAGTTCTGACTTAAACTTATTGATTGATGAGGCATTAATGGCAATTTCAGGAAGGTTATTCCAGCTATTTATGCTCCGCACTGAAAATGACATCTGCTTCATCTTAGATTTGCAGTTTTTTGAGCCTGTGTCCCCTTGTTCTGGATTCTTCAATGATTTCAAACATGTCATTCTTCTCTTCAGCCTCAAATCCGTTCATGATTTTGTATATTTGAAGAAAATCAGCCCTCTGTCTATGGTACTCTAGTGATGGTAGTTTGAGTGTACAGGGCAAATGGGAGGGGACCTCGTGAGATACGTGTTGATTATTTTTTTGCTAAAGAGCATAAAAAGGGAATGGAATCAGGTAGTATAGAATAAAAGATCGACCAATGAGATACGCTAAAGGTGAAGTCCACACTGATATTGAGTTGGTTTAATAGAAGCAGAATAATGAAAGAAACAGCTCAGTGAAAGTTTGCACAAAAACTATAGAAAATCTAGTTATACTTTTTTGAGGGTGTGATCAATCAATCACAAATTGACAACTCGGTGACGTATCTCCGATCTCGTGAGGCCCCTCCCCTTTGCCCTGTACTAAAAAACCTCAACAAATGTATATTTTCCCATAAGAAAATTCTGTAATCAAACATTCACTCTACATATAATTATCGCAAATATGTTTTTATGCTACTCCTGTATGACACAAACCTATTACGTCATCAATAACTAAGAAAATCAATTTTCTGTACAGAGCAAATTTGAGAGGAGCTCACAAGTGTCACAATACGTTACAGTGTTGCCAATTTGTGTTCCACTGATGACAACTTCAAGTCTTCAACAGTTCATAACTTTCCTAATTTTAATTGAATATTTCTCAAACTGTCACTAATTTGTTTCTCTCATTTTTCTCCTTTTTAAAAAACCAACCTAATATCAAGGTCAACATCCTTTTGTCATCCTTTAGAGTTTTTACCTCAAAGTAATTTCCAAAAATGTGTTTAACCCTTCTGATCTCTCAGACAATTTATTATCTTTCACTAGCCAAACTTAAGTGGACTGCCTGCAGGGGAAACATTTCCTCTGATGTTGATTTCTCTTTCCTTTGCCAGTAACACTCAGATGAAAAGTGCAATGTATGTTGCTTGAATTTATTTAATTCTGGGTTTCCTCAACAATGCAAATGAGAACTATAATACTGAACAATATCTAACATTTTGCAATTTTTAGGCATGGAGAATAAAGAACATTTTGAGAAAACGCATTGTACAAAACTTCGTATTTGACAACTCCTTGTGAACAATTGTGTTGTTACAGGTGAGCGATCTAGTACAGTACATGATGATTATGGAAGCAAAGAAGAACCCAGTAAAAAGATCAGGTATGTAGTCACTAAATGTATATTTAACATATCAGGTAGTCATTACTTTTCAAAGTGCTTTAATCTGATAGCCAGTTGATGATATGAAATAATAATTGTTGTGTTTACTGATCAGTGAATCTTCTGTATCCTTTAATAAACTGTAAGTAAACTTCATTTTGATTGGTTCAGCTTAGATTCTGATGATTTGGAAGACTGTGTTCTATGCTTTCAAATTTGAAAGAGAAAACACTTTGATTGAATTTTCTCATTGAGTGTTTACTGGTTTTTTATTTGTATTCAACAGATTTGAACAAGAATGTACTAAAGGAACACAGGGCTATTCTACCGGAAGTTCTGCGAATGGCAAAGCTCAAATTAGATGAGGTAAGATGACACTGAATATGTTGAATATAAAAATTGATTAAATAGACCTATTGAACGGGTTCAACGACAAATAAGCAAATATTCATGTTTTATGAAATTTGCTCACTTTTTCTTCACGCAAAACACAATTTTCCTGCAGTCATTTGTGTATTTTTGCTTAATTGACGATTATATTCAAGTTTTTATTGTTTAGAATTACCTGTGAGAAGCTAACATTTGCTATTTGCATATCTCATCACACTCACAAGTACAGCTTGCAGAGCTGCCAACCATTCCGTTTGTGCCGGAATTACTCCATTTTTTCCTCCCAATTATGGTATTACGTTTTTTCTTCATAAAATACCTTTTTTTATTTATTTTTTTTATTTTATTTTTTTATTTTTTTTTACATACCGTACGTCAAACAACAGCCCTAAAATGGTGATTCGATCACAAATTCAAGAGAAAACTAATTTTATAAAATTTATATAAATAAAATGCCGATAATACCAAAATAACCACCAAAAAAAATTCCTGCTTGTATGGAAAAAAACAGCATGATGAATGAACATTTCTGCATTGGAAGTGTGTCGCGCTTGGTTATAAGTTTTGTTTTTATGAATTCCTTTTTTTTGCCATCATGATTCTTTTTTTTGGTCGCACAAGGTTGGCAGCTCTGAGCTTGAAGCTCTCTGTGCAAAAGAGTGAATGCTGCCCTCTCTACTGGGGATGCTGTACACTGAATATAATGTGTGTGTGACCTAACACTTGTTGAGGCAATATTTGCTCCAACGTTATTGTGCCAAATACTGAAACAATTTTAGGGCCACAGTTAAAAGTTTTATATAATGTTAAAGAGAAGGTTGAGTTCTGGGAAGAGGTGAACAAAATAATTTGTGAGCGTTATCATTGTATAAACTATAATTAAGCTATAATGCAAGTGTGAAAGAACATCAGATAAAAAAATGTTCCCTAAAAAGCATGGCTTTTCAAATGCCTTCAAATATGGCATGTAACATCATAAAAATCAGGATGTAATTTTGTGCCACATGTTCCTGTAGTCCCAGATACATATATCTGTGTACAGTGCTTGTAACTTTACCAAGACTTGGGCCAAATTTCTCATCATTTTGATAATTCCAGTACACACCAATAATGCTAGGTGATCAACCTTTTCTGATCGATTCCACAACGTTTCTTTCACAATGCAATCACATGACCAGAACTCAACTTTATCTTTAAGACCTTTGTTTAGGTTAGTTCAGGATTAGGTATAGTGTTTGGTCCAGCATCAAATTGCTTCCTTCTTCAGAGAATATAGTCCTTTAGCCTTTTCTTATTAATCTACACTGTATACAATCATTGTACATTGATGTTTTGCATGAATGTGTAACCTCAGTACAGTACTTCAAGGCTGAATTTAGCAAGTTGTAAGCACTGCATAAATACAATGGCATTGAACATCTGAGAGAAATTGCCCTTTTACAAAACAAGATAATGGTGGATTAAGAACGGATTAGGCTGATCTCATCAGTTTGAAAGTCCGATCAATCAGGATCGTTCCTGCCCAATCTTATCCTTTGTCCATGGTTATTATATAAAGACAAGATTGAGTTCTTGGAAAGGTGAACATAATTGTCAGCCTTTTCATATGTTAGTGTGGAAGATTATCATAGAGAGAAAAATGTGTCCTCACAAGAATGGCTCTTCAAATGTCTTCATATTGCAAAAGATAGCTCAAGTGTTTGGACCACACATTCATGCCACATGTTATTGTTGCCCCACATACATATTTTGGTGTACTATGCATAGGACATTTAGCAAGACTGGGCCAATTTCTTGTCATTTTGATGATTCTGAAACCTCACAGTATACACCAAATACTTCAAACGTGCTACATAATCAGAATTATCCAATCACTACCAGACAGATTCTTTTACATTGGACTTGCATGCCCAGTACTCCTCTTTATCTTTAAGCTCTCCCTTGAATCAGAATGTAATACGCCCTTTCTTCTCTCTCCTGTGTCTTGTGACTTGGATCTAAAAAGAAAGAGGAGTCAATGGTGGGCGACAGAGCTTTGTCCTTGTGGTTAGTATTGTGGCTGGATAAGGATCACTCTGTTGCAAATGAGTCACCAGATTATAAGACACCCTTGGTTCCCCCTTTAAAGTGAAATTGATGTAAAACTTGATGTAAGAATGAAAATTGTTGTCTTTTATTCTCTTTGTAAACCGGTAGTTTAACAAACATGTAAATTGTTTCCTTGTATACAATGGATCCAAACATACTGTTTATGTTTGATTATATAGAGGAAGCTTTAAAAAATAACAAAACAACATTACCTAAAAGTCCTAAAAGCACAAGGATTGTGATTGGTTTGCCTAACAAGTAACAACACGTTTTATTCAAAGAATAAATTTTGCTGTTTTGAGGAGCAGCAGACTCAACTTTAGTCATAGATATTCCAGGACGTTGTTGCTTTCTAAACTCATTCAGTAGTGAAGTTTATTAAGTAAAAACATGCACATGATTATAATAATGATGATGATGATGATAGTGAATTCTTGCATAGCTCTCATGTCTGTCAAATTCTGGCGCTCCACTATCATTACCCCGACTTTAAGCATGGCTGTCATGTATTGTACATGTATATTGCTTTCTGAAATAAATGCTTAACGATTTAATTTAAATTCAAATAGCTAGCTCTCTCTCTCTCTCTCCATACCATCAGCAACCTATCACTCATCAGGAACCAGCTATGAGACCTACATGTGTACATGATTAAATGTTGTTGCATTTTTCACTTATTAAATACAGTCTTAAGCATTCATTGAAGGTTTGTTCAGACTTTTGTGAGAATTGTACTTTCTATCATTAGTCTTGACCAGAACTCCATCTATTCCCTTTAAACAGTTACAGAATGAATTTCTCACTTTCTGTATCCTCACTAATGTTGTAAGCCTCTGCCCCTAGAAAAAATTATGGGTTTTAGTTATTTCTTTAAAAGTTCACCTCTATAGTCTAAAGTGATTACCGGTAGGAGCCGGGTAAATTAAGTACCTCTCGTTCCTCACCATACGCCTGTCTTCATCAGCTTGAGTTTGCCAAATAACGTTCTATTTCAACTTTCCCGATTGTAAAATAACCAGTTAATTTGCATCTTCATCAGCCCGCAATTGAAATTAGCAGGATATTTCTAGACCAAATCCTGGTTGAGGATATTTTTGGTCAAGAAAAAATTTCCTGAGAAATATTGGTCTTGTTTCCAAAATATCCCACTATTTAGGAAATAGCGAACTCATTTGCACCCGTCCGACCTAGTTTGTGATGAGCATATCGGTCTGGTGAAGAAGCAATTTTGAGCTTTGGGATGATATCCCGAGTCTGAAAATAGTGCGTTATTCGGCAAACTTGAGATGATGAGGACAGGCCTCATGAGACTGAATTTGTTTTCCCTTCTCTAATTGGATTAAAAGTGTGGGCCCTTAAATACAGGCAAGCTCCCACTATCAGCTCTGCCAACAAATGTTTTAAAGTGGAGATTGATTTTTATTAAAAGGCTTAACTTGTAACCTATTAATGCTGCAAAAATTGCCATAAAGAGTTTTATCATTTTTTTGCTCTGCCGATAGCTAGGAGCTTTTTTTTATAGAATTTATAGATCTCTGTCTTTATATTAAATTTGTTAGAGGGGAGACAGTCTCTTGCGCTTAAAAGGTCTCACAGTTCTTATCTACTGTGTTGTCAGCCCTTTCCAGTATCTTCTAGGTGGTTTCTTTTTCAATGTAATTATGTGACCAGTTCTCAACTTTATCTATTCCAAATGCACTCTCTGTGTTTTATCATTGCAGATATTTGGATATGAACTGGTGGAAGCAGAACAAGGCGGAGGCAAGACGAAAACCAAGTGTTATTTCTTACTCAATACACTGAGTAATGATCTTACACAAGACCTTGTTAGGTATGAGAGTTTTTATGTTTTGCGTTTTTCTTTTTGTTTTGTGTTGTTTTTATTTGTTTGATTTGTTTAGTTTTGACATATATCTACTTTTATAATATCTTTATTAAGCTGTATAATATATTTTGCTTTAAAGATTATGATATTTCTAGCTAATAGTTAAAAACAAAATTCTTGTAAATAATTTTTCAAAATATTGATTTGAACCAAACTAACAAAAGTCAATATCATTCACAGATATATATTTCTTTAATTCAAACACTGATTTGAATCGTTATAAGGTTTATCCAAACATTACAGGGGGACAAAGGTGCATTATACTGCTTCATATGTGAACGGGCTTTTATTTTGTTCTATTTTCTTGCAGGAATGATGATGAAGTGAAGTTTGGACTGCTCTTCATTATCCTTGCCTTGATATTCATGAATGAAGGGACCATGTCTGATGGTAGGCTCAAATGATACTCTATAATCTATTCATAAGTGATATGATAATAACAACAATAATGATATAGATAATGTTGATTATAGTAATTATTGTAATACCGGTAATATGATAATTTTGAAAATATTGGCAATTATATTTCATAGAATGCTTAATTTAAATGTATTTGAATGTATTGTTGATATGTTCTCTTATAGGAAGATATATTACAATATGATATTATTTACAGCCATAAATATACACATGATTGGCTTCGCTCTGATTCCAATACTGTTTGAGTCAAGAAATTAATATACAAAAATGTTATAATATATATTTTCTTCTTGAAGGTCAAATGTGGCTCCTTCTTGAAAAGCTTGGTCTCGATCCAGATAGGTAAGTACTGGTAAAATGTGAAAATTGAACAAATAAGGCTATCACATGTATAATAACAATTTCAAAGAAGACTTAAATAATGTTTCCCACCAGAAAAACCACACATTGATTCTGGTTTAGTAATGTAGGATGCTTTAATTACAAAGTCTATTTTAGTTTCTGTCGTGACCAAAAACAGACAAAATCCGGGATAGGAAGTATGAGAGGCTCTTATTAACTTTCTTTCAATATATTGACTCAAATGGAAAAGATTGTTCATTTGGCAAGAGAGCCAAGAAAACAATTACAGAGGAAAAGAAGAAGAAAAGATAACTCTTTTTAAAAGATTGCAGCAAATGTTGCAGAGTGCATTTATGATAGAGGTACGGTAAAAGGAGAGGCAAAATTTTCTTTCTTTTTAAATCATCAAACTGATAATGATGCTTGAAATATCTAGATTCTCTAAAGCTTTTTCAGGCAGAAATTGTTATTATACTTCCTTTTAAATTTCACATCAAAATATTGAATAAACATGTAACAAATACATATATTAACATGTGTTCTAAATTTAGAACTTTTTTATTTATATGTAGGCTACAGATGTACATAATGTGGATTGAAAACCTGCATGAACAGACACTTTGACCTGCACATAGTCATTGTCTCAGACTTTAATCAAAACAGGTCTTGTTATTTAAGGCAACTTCCTATGAAGATTTAGCTTTAGAAGCCAAAGCAAGTCTTGATTGTATTTCTTTTTTATGTATGTAGGAAAGATCACCCAGTCTATGGAGATGTAAGGAAACTGATCACGCAGGACTTTACCAAACAACTGTAAGTCTTTATTTATATATCCGTATTTTCTGTTTACCGTTCATGCATTTGTGTGTCAGAGATAGATAATTGATAAGCAGGTGTTGTTTTGTCACTGTCTGTTGTTGAATGCATTTTAATGACCTCTTCGAGCACACTGGGTTGTAGAATTATTTTGACGAAATGGTAATTAAATTAGATGGAAATGTAAACAAACATCTTCTTCATGACTTAGGATCTAAATAATGATAAGAATACTAACAAGTGGAATTATAGTGCATTTAAGTGCATTTAAGTGTTCTATTTAGAATAAAAGCCAAATCGGCATCAAATTGTAGACAATCGCACTACTGGTCTGAGGTCACTACGATTCTGAGCTGATTAAGCTCTTGCTTCCTCCTCCAAGAAAGCTTCAAATCAGTTGAAATTAAGAATTTGTTATGACTATTGAGATGTTCGATCATTAAGATTTTACAAGTTTGAATGTTCACATCAAATGCTCTTGCAAATTCTTCCACAAATGGATCATAGTCTGGTTGTGTAGTGTGTGTGCCGGGCCGTAGGCAGCAATATTTGCTTTGTTTGTGTACTAGTTGGAGACTACTTCTTAAAGATGGCAGCATTTGGTTTCACTGGTGTTTTTATTGATTTATGAGACTTACTGTATTTATGTTACATCAAAGATATAGCTTTACCAATAATATATGCATGTATCAAATGGCCCTCATAATCATCAGTCCTCATCTATTTTTGTCTATTGTATAGATGGTATTTTTGAAGTTAAAACTTGTGATTGAGAAAGGTACGTCTCATTTCTATCTACTCTTGTGTAATGTAATGATGATGCACAGGCACATGTGTTGCTCCTGTGATCATTACCCCACTAATTCCTGTTTTTCACACGCTAGAGACCTAATAAAGAGTGTTCTTTCCTGATTGGGTTTAAGTTGGTGACGTCCCCTTGCCCTGTTCATATTACTGACCCATATTTGATACAGGTGATCAGGACGAGAGCCTGGCCCAGGCAAACTTCGACACTTCGTAGCAACATTATAAGCAGATTGTAATTGTAACATTACCAGGATAGAGCAGATAAAGTGTGCTAGGGAGGTACGTGTAAATGGAAATAAAGTGCTTTGCTCGCTGAAAAAAATTAACCTCATGGAAGTGTATTGAATGTTATCCCACCATTTAACATGCTATTTAATTCTCTATTAACCCAAGATACATTCATACTCAAGTGGTTGGGTGAGACATGGGGGGTGTTTCACAAAACTTGTCATCAGTGACAAATGTCAGTTTTTGTTATAAGCTATTGAAATCCTTGCTTCTGATTGGTTATCAGCAGATTTGTCACTGATTTTGTTCACTAGTCATTGAAAAAAGGCTTTGTGAAACACCCACCTGAGCCAATTGCAATGCCAAGCTCTCCTTTAGATGAATTAGTTTTATGCACACCCTGACACAGCTTATTTTGTTTTGGCCTGAGCGAGCTTTCTGAGCTTCTTCTGGTAACACATCTTGGTCTTATCCAGCTCAAATTGCAAATATGAATTGAGTTTCTGCTTGTGTTCGCACATGTATTTATTTGGGGTTTTAGATTTATGACAAGAAATGAGAAAATTGTAAATATCCTGCTCATTTAGCAGAACTGGGTCTGACCGGCCCAGGGCAAATCCTGTATGGATTGCTCTCAACGCTGAGTTTGGTCCCTGTTGATGTTACCACAGGTTTTGTTTGGGTTCTTCCAGTGGTACATGTAATAACTAATGAGAAAACCCTTAACCAAATTAACCATGAATATTATCCTGCTTTTCTGTGAGAAACGAGTTCGACCCAAGTCACATTGTGAGTGTGAAATGGTTATCTGTTTCTGCTGCTACCAGTAACACAATATCTGTATCAATTTTGTTATATTGATAATGATTGAATACTAAAGAAACCCTCTCCAACTTATAAATATTATCTTGCTTTCTTTTTGTAACTGGATCTGACCCAGGTCAAATTGCAAATGTGAATGCAGTATTTCTACTGATGTTGATCTAGGTTTTGTTGAGTGGGTTCATAGGTTGATAAGAACTAAGAAGAAAACCCTCTGCAAAGTATAAATATTATCCTGCCTTGCTAATTAATTGCAATTTCCCAAGCTGTTATCTGCGGATGGGAAGCTTTCCTGGCCAGTGGGGTGTGCGAAAGTCGAGAGGAAGAGATTAGAAAGGTGAAGAAGGAAACGAATGAATAACAAGCAGAAATTGGAAGGAAAAGGAAAGAAGGAAACTGGAAGGCGAGGCTGGTTTCAAATTGCCCATCTGGTTAGAGTTATGGAGAAGAAATAACGAAAAAAGAGGAATAGCGATGGATGAGATCGAGAGAAGATTTAGGAGAAAGAAGCAGGAGCAGTGTTGGTTCACATGAGAGTGAGTGTATCTTGCTGTATGTGACATTGTTGAAAATAAATTTCTCTGTTTCAAATAAATTTCTCTGTTTCCTGTAAAAATTAGTGGCTACGATAGAAGTCGATTTGGAAAATATATTCCTGGCTCAACACTTTACCTTAACTGAAACCTGACCTAAAACTCATGAGTAGCCCAATGCCGTTACACATATTCCTGGATGAAATCAATATATGGTCAAGTCCAAATTGAATATATGATCTTCTGTAAATGAAAATGGAGATGAGATACCAGTATACAAATAATCCCTTTTAGAACGTCAGAGATAAATCTTCATCCTTGAAACTTGTTGGACTTCTCTTATCTGTTAGAGGTTCTCTTCGTCAACGTCAAAGATTTTCTTCTTGTATTTTGTTGTGTGCGAATTTGTTGAAAATAAATTTCTTTGTTTCCTATATGAATTAGTGGCTATAACAGAAGTCAATTTGTAAATTCATCACTGGCTCAACACTATACCTAAACTGAAAACCTGACCTAAAACTCATGAGTAGCCCAAGCCCTTACACATAATCCTTGATGGCATCCATATATGGTCAAGTCCAAATCAAATGTTCAATCTTCTATAAATGGATAATTGGATATGAGATATTCAAATTCTTCCTAACGTCAGAGATAAATCTTCGTCATTGAAACTTGTTGAACTTCTCTCATCTGTTAGAAGTTTTCCTCGTCAACATCAAAGAATTTCTTCTTAATTTTTATCATTGGCATTGAAACTTGTTGGACTTCTCTCATCTGTTAGAGGTTCTCTTCGTCAACGTCAAAGATTTTCTTCTTGTATTTTGTTGTATGCGAATTTGTTGAAAATAAATTTCTCTGTTTCGTGTATATATATTAGTGGCTATTTTTAACCGAAGTCAATTTGTAAATTCATCCCTGGCTCGACACTATACCTAAACTAAAACCTGACCTAAAACTCATGAGTAGCCCAATGCCCTTACACATATTCTTTGATAAAATCCATATATGGTCAAGTCTAAATCGAATCTTCTGTAAATGGAGATGAGATACACAAATTCTAACTAACGTCAGAGATAAATCTTGTTGGACTTCTCTCATTGGTAGAAGTTCTCCTCGTCAACATCAAAGAATTCTTCTAATCTTTTTCATTGGCATTGAATCTTGTCAGTCTTCTCTCATTAGTACTGTGTGCGTGACATGGGTTTCTGTTGTTTTCATGCGCATGTGACTACGTATAGCAATGATGTTCACAGTTATTTTTATTTGTTTTGATCAGGACTGAGAAAGTCCTTCTTGAAGGCAAGGATAACACGCTCCCTGAATCTCTAGAAATATCCATGCTTCGTTAAGATGTAGACCTCTGTTCACACATAGTGTTATTTCCCTTGCATCTTCAAGATCTATAAGTTGAAATATGTGAGTCAGAAGCATGAAATAAAGAGAGCTCTATGAAATGGACGTTGAGAGGGCTAGAAAGGAAAACCCTAACAAAACAACAACAACAAAAATCTGCAATTCATCAATCTTTGGTTGAACTATAAATATTGTCTTTTGTGTAGACTTTTAAAAATTAACGAGTAACAACTATTGGTGTTTGCATTAGAACATGGGTCAAATCCTTTCTTACTTTTCTGTAGATTTAAAAGAGAAATCAGTTTAATGTTTCAGAATCCAAATTGCCAAAAGTACTTTTAATGTTGTTCATTTTCTGGAAACGTTATTTGTGTGAACGAAACCTTAGGTGTTGATCAAAATCTCAACCAGCACATTTAATGAGGACGCTCACTCCCACATATTTCTCTCAAAATGAAGTCACGTTCTTGCATGTTTTCAGACTTAATTAAGGGCGTAACGTTTGGAATCTTATAAGTATTCATGAATACATTAATGTGTGTGCACTCACAGTCATTTTTTTGTGTGTGAATAATGGAAGCAAAATAAAGTACTGGTAACTATACCAAGCATGGACTAATGTTTGCAATTTTTTGTTCTTCTTCCCAATTTGAGTTGTTTTGTTGGTTGGGTAATAGGGGTAGATTATAGAACCTATTTGCAATAATGATAGTCTGATTTCAGATTGTATTTTGTATAAATGAAATGAAATAGGTACCATTGCTCTGTGTTGATCTTCCTATATTCTAGATGAAATGATAAAATTAACCCATTGTTCCGGCTGTAGTAGTATATGACTCTGTGATGCAGAATAACTGTGAAATAGCACCTTTACCTCCAGTCATACTTTCAAACTTCTGAAAGGTCTTGTGACCCTGCCCACTAAAGAGGACCAGAATTTGGTCTAGTGCCAGAGACTTCCGAGATATCTCGTCTGGCGCCTTGTTTGAACGCCCTAAAGGGAAAGTCCACCCCCAAAATAAGTTTGTTTCGATAGAGACAGAATAATAAGAAAATCAGGTGAGTGAAAGTTTGAGCAAATTCTGAATGAAAATAAGAAAGTTATGAATTATTGAAGTTGTGATCAATCAAATACAAATTGGCAACTCTGTGACTTATTATACGAGCTCTCCTTCATTTGCTTTGTGCATAATATTCCATAAAATCATGTTTTCTTCGTTATTGATGACGGAATATATATTTGTTCCTTGCAGG